GTTTAGTGTCTGAGTGTCGAGTGTCAGAGTGTCTAGTGTCTGGGTGTCTGAGTGTCAAGTGTCTGAGAGTCTAGTGTCTGAGTGTCTTGTATCCGAGTGTCCAGTGTCTGAGTGTCTAGTGTCTGGATGTCTGAGTGTCTAGTGTTTAGTGTTTAGTATCTGAGTGTCGAGTGTCGAGTTTCGAGTGTCTAGTGTCTGAGTGTCTAGTGTCTGGGTGTCTGAGTGTCAAGTGTCTGAGAGTCTCGTGTCTGAGTGTCTTGTATCCGAGTGTCGGAGTGTCTAGTGTTTAGTATTTGAGTGTCGAGTGTCGAGTGTCGAGTGTCTAGTATCTAGTGTCTGAGTGTCGAGTGTCTGAGTGTCTAGTGTCTAGTGTCTAGTATTTAGTGTCTGAGTGTCGAGTGTCGAGTGTCGAGTGTCGGGTGTCGAGTGTCGAGTGTCAAGTGTCGAGTGTCGAGTGTCGAGTGTCGAGTGTCGTGTGTCGAGTGTCGTCGAGTGTCGAGTGTCTGAGTGTCTAGTGTCTGGTGTTTAGTGTCTGAGTGTCGAGTGTCGAGTTTCGAGTGTCTAGTGTCTGAGTGTCTAGTGTCTGGGTGTCTGAGTGTCAAGTGTCTGAGAGTCTCGTGTCTGAGTGTCTTGTATCCGAGTGTCGGAGTGTCTAGTGTTTAGTATTTGAGTGTCGAGTGTCGAGTGTCTAGTATTTAGTGTCTGAGTGTCGAGTGTCGAGTGTCGAGTGTCGAGTGTCGAGTGTCGAGTGTCGAGTGTCGAGTGTCGGGTGTCGAGTGTCGAGTGTCAAGTGTCGAGTGTCGAGTGTCGAGTATCGTGTGTCGAGTGTCGTCGAGTGTCGAGTGTCTGAGTGTCTAGTGTCTGGTGTTTAGTGTCTGAGTGTCGAGTGTCGAGTGTCAGAGTGTCTAGTGTCTGGGTGTCTGAGTGTCAAGTGTCTGAGAGTCTAGTGTCTGAGTGTCTTGTATCCGAGTGTCCAGTGTCTGAGTGTCTAGTGTCTGGATGTCTGAGTGTCTAGTGTTTAGTGTTTAGTGTCTAGTGTCTAGTGTCTAGTGTTTAGTGTCGAGTGTCGAGTGTCGAGTGTCGAGTGTCGAGTGTCGAGTGTCGAGTGTCGAGTGTCGAGTGTCGAGTGTCGAGTGTCGAGTGTCGAGTGTCGAGTGTCGAGTGTCGAGTGTCGAGTGTCGAGTGTCTAGTGTCTAGTGTCTGAGTGTCTTGTATCCGAGTGTCGGAGTGTCTAGTGTCTAGTGTTTAGTATTTGAGTGTCGAGTGTCGAGTGTCGAGTGTCTAGTGTCCGAGTGTCTAGTGTCCGAGTGTCTAGTGTCTGAGTGTCTTGTATCCGAGTGTCTAGTGTCTGTGTGTCTAGGGACTGAGTGTCTGAGTGTCTAGTGTCTGAGGGTCTAGCGTCTGAGTGTCTAGTGTCCGAGTGTCTAGTGTCTGGGTGTCTCAGTGTAGTCCTATTATTGGATACCCATATTGTGGTGGTTCTGGAAAAATATGTACCTAGTCCGCCATATTGGAACGGCGTCCATCTTGAATTTTAAATTTTGACATAATCATCGTGTTTTACTAGTGTAGCCCTTTCATTTGATACCCATATTGCGGGGGTTAAGGAAAAATATGTAATCCGCCATTTTGTATCGGCGGCCATCTTAGATTTATAATGTTATTGATTTTATTATATTGTATTGTCATCTAAAGTAAATGTGTGTACCAAATTTCAGATCAATCTGACAACGGGAAGGTGCTTAAATTCCTATTTCTAATTTTGACCCAAATAAATAAATACCGTACAGGTCGAGCTAAATAAAACCGTTTAATAAAAAGGTTTTCGACCGATATGAGTGATAACAAAATGGGTAATGACCTTTTCTCCGCCATCAGTATTCAGAGAAACCCAATATATAGATATCCGATCGGTATCCATATTACCCTACCCATGTCTAGTGTACAAATTTTTACCCTATTAAAATATAATTAATAAACAAACAGGCATTTCACACTGTCAAGACAGATTGTTATCTATAATAAATACTTTACTATCTTTTGTAAAGGAAATTAATATTTCATAATATGCCCTTAATTCTTAATCCCTAATCCCACACACTTATCTATAGTGATGCAATTTTACAGAAACATTACTTATTTAGTTTTAACTTAATTAAATTTGGATTACTTAATATCTCCATGTTGGGGGAAAAAGGGATTGTTAGTAATGGAGACTGAGAATCCCATTGCTAGCAATATACCCAGCCAGGTCGACCTCCTCGCGATTCTCCCTGGAAACTATCGTGGTTAATTCCTGATGAATTCATCATGATGGGCTAATTGGCCTGTTTTCATTCTCATCTATCACCCTTCACTGGTGCTCCGCCAGCGTATCCCGTTAGCGCAGGCGGGGTTACCATACCATTTTCATCCATCAAAAAAATCTCAATGTTTAACCTACTTTAAAAAAGGAGGTTTTAAATTCTGTTGCATTTTGTTTGTTTATTATCTCTTAATTCTGTTAGTTATAAAGTGATATGAAAAATTCTTTTTTTATTTGAAAGAATACTGGGATATTGTATTCGTTTTAACTAGTGCGTGTTGCCAGTGAAGATTTATGGAACCGAAACGTGCTCCTATACGGTTGGCCGTATGCAAAAGCTTCAAATTACTTAGCTTTACTCGGAGTCTCTTTGCGTGATAGAATCTGAAACGAGGATATCCGCAAAAGAACCAAAATAATTGACATAGCCCGAAAGATAAGCAAGCTAAAGTGGTAATGGGCTGGTCACATAGCTCGAAGAACTGACAACCGATGGGAAGAAAGGTTCTTCAGTGGCGACCGTGTACAGGTAAATGCAGTGTAGGACGAAAGAAGTAGTAGAAAAGATTCACCCTGTTATATTTTTGCTCCGCAAAAAAAGGAAAAACAAGAATTTAAATGTGATACGACTAATAATCACTACATAGTATAAAACAAAGTCGCTGTCGCTGTCTGTCCGTCCCTATATACATAGGGAAATATAGCTTAAATCTTTAAAACTACACAACGGATATTAAAGCGGTTTTTTTTTTAATAAAGTGATTCGAGAGGAAGGTTTATATGTATAATACATTCATAATATTGTAGAGAAACACTGATAATTTTAGAGGTTTCTAATGGGTCGGCAGCGCTATTTAATATCAGCATTGCACCCGTGCGAAGCCGGGGCTGATCGCTAGTAATCAATATTTTTAATTTTTTTTTTTTTTATACAACTTAGAATGGCAAACAAGCTGACGGCCCACCTGATGGAAAGTGGTAACCGTCGCCTATAAACATAAGCAGTACCATGGACATAACAGAATATACTGTTTCGCCCATGATACCCCCCATGCGTTGCCATTCCTGAGGACTCAGGTGTTATTCCTCTGTACCCAGTAAATTCACGCCAATTTTAATACATTATTATTAATGTTAATTATATAATTATCTATCATTATGTATTTATCTACAGACTTTAATATCTAATCACGATTAACAACAATAATTACTAGGAAGCTCACATGATACATATGTATAACACATGAATAAAAGTAAACCGTGTCACGGGTCTTCTCGTGTCCGTAGAGTAAAATATTTCATTATTTCTTTATGTTCTCAGGAGGATGTCGTGTGAAGTGACTAGGGGAACAAATTGTCCTCTAGTGATGATAGGTGAGGATAAAAGTAGACCAACTAACCTGCTTACTAGTGCTCCATCAGGATATACCGCGTATAAAGCGTAAGCTACCATTCCATTATCATTCATTTAAAAAATATCTTTTCTTACGGGGAGATCAGTTGATAAAACATTAATAGATTGAAATGACCTGAATGAAATATGACATAGTTTTTTAAATTTAAATATATCAAATAACACATACGATATCAGGAATGATATGACCCGAAATCCCAATATTACAACGAACAACTATCCTATACATAGCAACGAGAATATTCTTCAATGTTTTCCGAGTTAACTTCGACTGTTGCAGAAATATATCAGCGGAATTAAAGTCCCGAATATCAATCAAATTTCGACTATATTTTGTTTTATAATAGCACGATATGTGACCACACCATCCTGAGCGAACACAAGGACCAAGATCAACCGAAAAGAATATTGTGCTCTCAACGGTTGGCTGCACTATACCGGCTTACTTAGTGCTTTTTCACACTACATTTGAACGAACCGAGGTTATAGGACATAAAGGAAACACGTCATGGGAAAGGCCATTCCACAATACCACATTTTAGTAATCACCATCCATTTAGTTCCATTTTTCCATAGAACAGAAAAATGGTCAATATACTAACTATATGAGAAAGCATCAAGTTGTTGCAATATTTTTGCAATACTCAGATTTGTAATACGGAAAAAGTGTGATCCTGAACTGGTCATTTAGTTAGAGGAACTGGTATTGAATGGATAAAGAGAATTTATCCAGACAAATTTATACAACAAAATGCATAACTGCTTGACATTACTTCAGAAGATGGATTAATTTTCTTTTTTTAATTGGTAAGAGTGAAAAACGTATAGAGAAGTTGTCGTTACGTTGCTAGTCTTTTAATATATTGGGATCACACGGGTTTGAATGTTTGGGCACGAATGGCATAATATGTTATATTTGGTGATTTCTATCAGCCATTAATCGTCCACTGCTTAACATAGACCTCTCCTGTTGGGGGTTTTGCCAGTAGTTGCTACGCTTGGCAAGAGGGCTGGCAACCGGAGTTATGCCTTGGTGATGTTTTAAGAAGGTTGCTGCTATCTATGATATTATACATTCCTAAACATGACGCCACCATATTTAACAAAATAGTCGTCAGCTTTTTCTATTTCTACTAGTTCATATAAAAAGATTACTTGAAAATCACAATCGTTCCATGTAACTATGTAATTTTTGTTAATTTTACATCAGAAATGGATTATCAGATTATGTCACATGCATGTTTAATTAATTGATATTGATTTATCAGCACCGCGAGAACCTATAAAGCCTATAACGGTTTAGACTTGTTGTTTAATCGTGTTTTTGTTTATTGTGGTGGAACAATGAAAGTGTTGGCAGTGTTACTTCTCTGTGTGGCGGTATACGCCAAACATGAACAGTATGCAGGGTTAGTTTGTTTGTATATTTATAATCTTTCTTGCAAAAATACTAAGGGAATAAAATTCAGTGTTTTATATATATTATTCCGCTACCTCCATGGCGTAATAGCAGGCACGTCCTAAGTCCGGTGAGGTCCCGAGATTTCCAGTTGGGTTAATTTAGTATACTAACTTTTCTCAATTAGCTTAGGTTTTGGTGTTCTGGGTTATGTCTTCAAATGTCTTTTTCCTGATTTTTCATTGTTATGAAGTATCCGAACTTGACAACTAGATGATTGGTGTGGCACTTATTATTATTAGTCAAAGGACCCGATAGAGATGATTAAGAGTAGATCTATTATTGAAAATATAATTTACATTGGTACGTAAATTATGATATGTCTCTCGTTTTGTGATAATCCCAAAATTCCTTTTCTAGTACGTTCTTACATTACGCAAGGAGCTTTAGTGTAATATTGACTATTATCATCATCATTATTGTATATTTAAGTATCATTTTCTGCTCCTATTGACATTTTTCTGTTAATGATCCAATCTGATCAAAATCCACTATTCTTAAAAAAAAATGCTTACGATACGTCTTTTTGTTCTCTTTCTTTTAATTAGTTCAGGATGTAGTCTATAGTTCCTGTGTTCTCTAAAGTGTTTTCTGAACGTAGGTCTGTGTCTAGGTTATCCAATAGTTTTTCAATGTTCCAATAGCTTGATTGATATCTAAATACTCTGCAATAATAACGCAACATTGCATCATGTTGCAGATTTATTGATAACAATGCACGAGATAATGTATATATTCTACCTATCTAGTTTCTTTAATCGGCACAATTATTCTGATCAATTGTAACAAATCGTTACTACTTTTGGTTGCTTTTAAGACTAAAAGATTTTATTGATATTTGCTATTTTGTATTTTTTTTTATACCATTGAGGTGGCAAACATGGCTTCTGAACATCTGCAACACTAGGAACATTACAATTGCGAAGCAAGACTCTGAAGAAATCTTTTTACTCCTTTTTCGAAGAATCTCTTACTGTAGTCTCTTGAAAAACTTCAGTGAAATGGACTCCTCATTCCATAACCTAGGCTTTTGTAAGAGTAAATATCTCTGAAATCGCCTTGTATGCGAAGCGTGATGTATAAGGTATGGGGTTGAACTTTCTGTTCGTGGCGAACTGCATGATGGTAGAAAGTGGTCGTAGGCATCAAGTTAAACGATTCCTTTGAGTTCAATATAATATGTTCTCACCTGTGGGCAGGAGCGCCACAGTACCAACTCCTTCCGTTAGACCGCATTCAAAGTCGGGCGGCTCGAATTATCGATAGTCAACGCCTTACTGTCCGACTTGACCCATTGAAACTGCGCAGAGATGTTGCATCTCTGTGCATCTTCTACCGAATTTATCATGGGGAGTGTTCTGAGGAATTGTTCGGATTGATACCTGCTGCTGATTTTCACCACCGTACAACCCGCCACAAACTAAAGTTTCATCCCAATCATCTGGACGAGTGGCGGTCTTCCACCGTGCGTTTTTCAAGGCACTTTCTTCCACGCACAACCATTCTTTGGAATCAACTTCCAGCAGCAGTATTTCCGAACCGATACGACAACATAACCTTCAAGAAAAGAGTATATTCCTTTTTAAAAGGCCGGCAGCACACCTGCAATGCCGCTGGTGTTGTGGGTGATCATGGGCGGCGGTAGTCACTTACCATCAGGTGAGCCGCATGCTCGTTTGCCCCCTGTGTTGTAAAAAAAAAAAAAAAAAAAAATATGAGAGATTTCGAAAAATGTGCCTATAAACATTTGAAAAGCCGGAAATGCACAAACAACTCTTCTTGTATCTCTTATAAACACCTGTTTATTGGCAATAATAGCCGCTTTCCATCAGGTGGACCGCCTATTTGTTTGCCTCCCTAACAATAAAAAAAAAATAGTTTAATGTACAAGCGGTAGCATACAAATAGTGAGGCAAAATCTCTCCCAAGACTTAAGGGTTATATTAACAAATTCAATTTCAGATGGAAATCTTATTACGTAGGACCGAAATCCCAAGAGCAACAGCAGTTCATTGGGTCTTTAGTCGAGGAATATGAGTTGGACTTTCTAAGCCATGCAATTATAGAACAAGAAGGTGTGGTTCTCGTAAAGCCAGAACACCAAGATGGATTCATCAAGGCGTTGGAAGAGAAGGGAATCGCTTACAGGATCCACGCTGCAGATGTGAAAGCGTGAGTTGAATTATGAATTCTTTGATCTAGTTTAATCTATATTTATAAAATCGTTTGTCTTGACCAGCTATCAATGATCATCCAAAACTACTATGTCTAGAATGCTGAGATTTGAAACATAAATTTATTTTATAACGTATAAATGGATGGTATAAATGGATGCTGCCATTAAGAAAGGATTTTTGATAATTTCAACTTAAAGGGAAACACAGCATCAAATATATAAAGCCGTGGACAATAGCTAATATATAATACATAAAATAAAACATTAACAATTAGAATACATAGAAAAGCATAAATTTTATTAGGCACTCTTATTTTTGATAGTATTCTTTGTGATTATATGATTTATAAAATCTGGTATGTTAAATATGTTTACTAAAAATGCAGTCCATTCAATGTTGGACTGCTTTCTTAATAACCAAAATAATTTAATTGAACTTGGACACTGGTTAATTGTGAGAGAGTTGTCAACTGTTTTTGCTTTTTACAATATTAATGATGCCAAGATATCATAATAATTATGGCTGTTACAGAAGAGTCGATTCCAGATGCTATAAAAAATGCAGAAATATAATTACCAATTATTTTTTTAGAGCCAAGTTACATTGTTAGCAAGATAAATTTTCAAAACAGACTGCTTAATTGTGAAGAGTTATGATTATGCTAATTCCTAGTTTAATTTATTGTAGATACTAGCGACCGCCCCGGCTTTGTACGGGTGCAATGCTGTTACTAAATAACTAAATAGCGTCGCCGATCCCCCATTACATTACGACATTACATTAGAAACCTCTAAAATTATAATGTTATTATTATGCATGTATTATACATATAAAACTTCCTTTTGAATCAATCGTATCTATTAAAAAACCGCATCAAAATCCGTTGCGCAGTTTTAAAGTTCTAAGCATGGGGGAAAGGGATTGTTAGTAATGGAGACTGAGAATCCCATTGCTAGCAATATACCTAACCAGTTCGACCTCTACGTGGTTCCCCCTGGAAACCATCGTGAACAATTCTTATTGAATTCATTATGATAGGCTAACTGGCCTGTTTTCATTCTCATCTATAATCCTTCACTGGTGCTCCGCCAGCGTATCCGGTTAGCGCAGGCGGGGTTACCGTACCATTTTCACACATCAAAAAAAAAAAGGTCTAAGTATACATAAGGACAGACAGACGGGAATCGACTTTGTTCTATACTATATAGTGATTATTCAAATATTTTCTTTAATAAATATTTTCAGTGCTCTAGATTTTGATGACGCAGCCATTGAGACGAGAAGACGGGAGAATCTTGCCAGAAACGGTATCGAGTTGCCTTACGACAATTATCAAGAAATTGAAGTGGTAAGTCTAAATGTAGCATTCGCAACAACATATTGATATATTGTATTTATTTATTTAAGGCAAACAAACAGCTAAAATAATACATAATTATATACTTAAATAGTAATTTGGTAGCCACTAGAATTTGCACAAAATAAAACACAAGTAAACAAAACACAAAATTAGACAATACTAAAATTAAACAAATATAAACAAAATTAAACAAACAAATACTATTAAAAACCACAGCATTGTCAATAATAATGCTCAGAAGTTACTTTTAGATAACTTGTTGTACTTTTAGAATATATAGATAAAGTGTCTCCATAGAAATGCTTTGAGAAAAACGGGTTATTTTTTCCATAAAATTTTCCGTGATAAATAGTTGTAATTGTAATTGTAAAAATCTTTATTGTACATAACTCAGATTAAATACTAGTAAATGATTTAGTATACAATGGCGGACTTATCCCATAAAGGGATCTCTTACAGTCAACCTTTGAGAAGCTGAAATAAAACTGTAGAATGTATAAGGGTAATAACCGTACAATTAAATATAAACTAAATAATACCCAGTAAAAAAAAAAAAATTGAATATATAACACAATAAAAACAGCTCTATATACCTACATATGTAAATAATAAAAGTAAATTAATAATAATATAACATTAATAAATAAAAACTTATACACATACACATATATATATATACATATATATATATACATATATATATATATATATATATATATATCCCCTAAGGGGGAGGCTTATGTTCAGTAGTGGATACTTAAAGGCTAGTAGGAAAATATATAAAACTATTTCTTTAACTGTTTTTCCTTATTAGTCATTTTTATGATCTAAGTCTTAATTAAAATCTATTCCAATTTCTATGGAAAATTATCCAATTTTTAGGCGTTAATACTTATACTGTATCGATGTTTGTTATTCCTGATTAATTATTACCCTCACTAATATTATAAATGTGAAAGTGTGTTTGTTTGTTTGTTTGTTTTTTTTTACCTTATAGTGTTCTTAACAGCTTAATCAATCACTATGAAATTTATTATTATGTGGGATCTATCCTGTAAGCAATCCCAATCCTCCAATGCCCTGGTGGATCCATCTTGGTGTACTTGTAAAAAAAGTTTTTTATCGTAAAAATAATATTGGATAACAGATTTTTTTTAACATATATGAAAATAGATATCCGACTGTTGTGAGTGATATTTAAATGGATGATAACCTTTTCTCCGCCATCAATGCGTACAGGAACCCAATATACTCGTATAGATATCGGATCGGTATCCATATTGCCCATGCCTACTCATTAGAGATTACAGTCGTGAGCATATTTTTTGTTTAAATTTTATTATTTTTATTTGTTTTAGATTGATGCTTATCTCGCTGATGTTGCCCGTCGTTACCCCGACAGAGCCACTCTAGTAACTGGTGGGAACTCCTTCGAAGGTCGCCCTATCAACTACCTTAGGATCTCTACCACCAACTTTGAGGATGAAAGCAAGCCAGTTATCTTCATTGACGGTGGCATTCATGCAAGAGAGTGGATTTCTCCTCCCACAGTCACTTGGGCCATACACAAGCTTCTAGAAAATGTGACGGAACCCGATCTTCTGGAGCGATTCGACTGGATCCTGTTACCTGTAGTTAACCCAGACGGATATAAATTCACTTTCACCAACGTGAGTAGTATTATAAAATATAGTCGTTCGACTTTTTGAAGAAATTTTATAAAATTTTCCAAAATTATTCTTTTGACACATTTTTATCTTTTAAATGTAATTACTATCGGATCAACTTACGTGTCATTAAATCGAATAAGCTGGACTAGTTTCTGAATCAATTCGTGACCTTTGATCATGAGCAGTGAGAAAGAGAGAGTGTGCATGCGTGCGTGCGTGCATACGTGCGCGCGTGCTTGCGTGCATGCGTGCGTGCGTACGTGTGTGGTAGTTATTACATTAAAATATGATGTTCCATTAGCGATTTAGAGAGTCTTATGTTAATATTATCAACGAATATACTTAATGTTAATTTGCTAATATACTTAAAGAAGTACCCCTTCAAATAAATTTCTGTTTATATATCTGTTACAACTGTTAGTAAAATTTAAAAAATAAGATACTCTAGTTTACCTTTTTATTTTATTTTTTATTTTCATAAATAATGCGAATATTTCCGCTTTTAGAGGTAGAATACATGACATTCTTATGCTATAGTGACCGTTTACCATAAGACAAGTTATATGTTTACCACCTTAGTGGTATAATAAAAACCATTCTTTTAATTTATTTTCTTCTTTCTTTCAGACTCGTTTTTGGCGTAAAACACGTTCGACCGATCAAACCAGTATAAGCACGTCATGTCCAGGTGTCGACGGTAACCGCAATTATGATTACTTTTGGAACACAGTTGGAACAAGCAACAATGCATGTTCTGACACGTTTGCGGGCAGTACAGCATTTTCTGAAGTCGAGACGAGGGTAGTCCGAAGTATTCTGCATGAACATCTCAACAGACTGGCCCTGTATTTAACGATGCACAGTCATGGAAGCATGATTCTCTACCCATGGGGAAATGATGGCAGTCTTTCTAACAACGCATTAGCTCTTCACGTGGTCGGCGTCGCTATGGCCGATGCAATCGCCGAATTATCTTTACCTAATTTCCGTAGATATGTAGTAGGTAATTCTATGCTGGTGATTGGATATGCAACATCTGGAGACTCCGAGGATTACGCCCATTATATTGGTGTTCCTCTATCCTACACCGTCGAGCTGCCCGGACTCTCTAGTGGTCTCAATGGTTTCCACCTAGATCCCATATACATTGAGCAGGTGTGCCGTGAAACTTGGGAAGGCATTGTTGCAGGTGCAAGAAGGGCTGGAGATTTATTCGTTTCATTAGCACATCGTAATTAAATTTCAATATTGTAAATACTATTTTGTAATGTTCTATTAAATATTCATATACAAACATGTTTTATTATTGAAATAAAAATATCGTTTTTCTTTTATGAAACCTCTTTGTTTTGTTGTATTATTACATTCACGGAGTTCTCTTAAAGTTAATTGTAAAACTGTATCAAATATATTGATCATTGACAAACTGTAACATCTTTAACCATGTCATTAATAGTTAGTGGCATAAAATTTAATACGAAAACAAGAAGTTTATTGTTCTGTCTTGTTATATTACCCGACCTGATATTATGACCTAATGCCATCATCACCTTTTTACCATCATGCTTCACACCATAGAGTTTACCCACATTCCTTGGGTGCATGGCATACTACCAGTGGCAGTGCATTCTAATTATTCCTATCTCATACATCTGATTGATTATGGAAACATATCCCGTTTTTAGTTTCCCTTTTATAATATAATATTTTAAAACAATGTGCTTATAAATATTTATAAGACCAGCAACGTATAAATAACTCTTCTTGTGCTGCAGGTTTTCATAGACGATGGTAGTCATTTTCCATCATGTGGCTTCCATCATACATATGTTAATATGCCCTATATTATATTATTATTGGTTTGTCTTCAAAATTTAAGGACCTTTCTTTTTAATCAGTCATTGATTCTACGAAATATATTATCTGTCAATTGCCATACTGTATATTTTTTTAAGCTACATCGATTATGTTTATATATTCATCTAATACATCCTAGATTTAATTTAACAAAACATGATAGCTGATTTGTATAATAGTAATGAATCTAAATGATCATATTTGATTGATATATATTTATTATAAATATTTTAGAGTGCGTAAGTCTGCATTTAGAGTCTTAAAGCGATTAAGAGGTTGAAATATTTTACTTTTCAATAACTCGTTCCTACTGGATTCGCATCCGGATATTTCAGTTATTGGAGTCGATGGTACTCTCAGATGTATTCTCAGATGGTATTCTCACAACACGAAAGGAATACTATCAATTAGCTAATTTCTCAGTCATTTTTAAAGCTATTATTGGTTGATGCGTTTCTATAGAATGCTTATCGTAAAATGACTTGGAAATCACAATCAAAAATGATTAGGATCAAATTATTTACAAATCACGATATATTTTATAGAAATCAACAATTATCTGATTATGGTACATGTATGCATATCTAATTAATTGATACTTATAAATTTATCAGCATCATGAGAAGATATAAAGACTAACGTTTTAGACTTTTTGTTAAATAGTGGATGTGGTGGAACGATGAAGGTGTTGGCAGTGTTACTTCTCTGTGTGGCGGTGTACGCCAAACATGAACAGTACGCGGGGTTAGTTGCTTTTTAGTATTTATAAACTTGAAACGACTTGGAGTTAAAGCAATCTCTTTGCAAGAATCATTATTACTATTATTTTTCTGTAATCATTCGTTAAAATTTAGATGCCTTTACGGTAGATGACTATTAAACTTGATGGTGATTATATAAAAACAATAGCATTATGATTCATGTAAAGTGACTTTTTAACTTCTTGATATAAACATGAAAGAGTGATTTTCGACAAGTCAGATTTGTAATTTGTGATTTTTTTTGGTTCTAAGTCCTTAGAAAATTTAATGTACGTATTTTTTAAAATGATTTCTTCTATATTTTGGGGGCATCGGCTTGTCTGAAGACTCGAAGTCAAAAGCATAGTTGTAAGGTCCACCGAAGTTCGACAGGAATTACATTTTCTGAAAACTATCTAAATAATTCTATATATGTTTACGAAATTATGTAACTTTGCCTAGAACTGATCTCGTTACAGTTAGAATTTCCATATGATTATTTATCCTTAATTCATTCATATTAGCATAATTTTATTTTTCGATAACTTTATTGTTTGTTTAAATTTGCAAATTATTATTATATTTATAACTTAGAAGTTTACTCTTAAAAAAATTTCAGATGGAAATCCTACTATGTAGGACCAAAATCCCAGGAGCAACTGCGATCTATTGGTCCCTTAGGCCAAGAATTTGAGGTGGACGTTCTAGGATATGCTAATTTAGAACGAGAGGGTGTGGTCCTCGTGAAGCCAGAACACCAAGATGGATTCATCAAAGCGCTGGAGGAAAGAAACATCACTTACAGGATCCACTCTGCTGATGTGAAAGCGTGAGTTGACGTTCTTAAATTTTGGAAATGATGAAAGAAAAATTTTAACATCGTTTAGTGGACTTGTAGATTGTTTTATCAAATTTACAATCGAAAAGAAGCTAAATGTAATAATTTACGGTCTTTTCCCATAAGAGGTTGATATGAGCCTATTATAACTGATAAAGTAGCTTGCCTTAGGGTTTTATTTGTATTTTACTTCTCTTGCACTAATATGTTGTAATTTGATCCGGTATTTCTCTTCGGGTAAATCTTCGAGATAAAATGCTGATATGTTATACTTTTTTACAATCATAAAGTTTTAAATACACAATCGGGACTTAACGCGATGAAAAAGCTTTTACAGGTAAATGGTACGTACATATCTGCTTCGTTATTGCCAACATTTCGATGTGGATTACACCACGTCGTGGTCACGACAGGACATGACGTGGTGCAATCGACGTATGTAGGTGTGTATCATCTATCCAGGTATGTAGATACTATTTATCTATAAAAGCTTTTTCATCGCGTTAAGTCCCGATTGAGTGGTTTAAAAATATGTGTTAACAACGCGAAAGTTTAAAATCATACAGTTATTTATTAACAATTCTATTAGGTCATATTGTGTTACTAAAAATATATGTAAATTTTCAAAAACTTTAAGTGTTTTTTACATTTCATATTCTATATTAAATATTTTTTTAATTACTAAGTTGTAAATATTATCATATATTTTATAAATATTGATTTTTTCCATAATTTCAAAATAAAATAATTGTGAAACAGTCATTACTAATCTTATTTAGTTCATTTATATTATTCATTGACGTTACAATAACGTTAATCAGGAAATACTTAAGATATGTTATGTTATTATAACTTATTTGTAACACAATTAGATAACACTGATTACTAATACTAACACCAACGTCATTAATTAGTAAAGATACTAGCATAGTTATCGATGTCTGCTCATTGTAATAGAAAAAGATGGTATAATAGAAAACTTTCCTTATGTACATAATTCTATTGTTTATTATCTACATCATCATTCGTCAGCATCATTTTAACCATTGTTCACTGTTGGATATAGGCCTCCCCCATAGACCGCCATAAGGAATGGTCCTGAGCTTCCTACATTCTTCCCTATCGATTGTCGGTTCTTCAAGCTACGTGACTAGACCATTGCGACTTCGGTTTGCTTATCCTTCGGGCTATGTTGGTTACTTTGGTTCCTTTGCGAATATTCTCGTTTCGGATTCTAATACGTAAAGAACCTCTTGGAAACCTCCGTGCCATTCGTGTTTCTACTGTGAAGCAGTTGTGTTTGCATGGCTGGGTTATGGTTTGAAGGGTGGGATATGGCGTGAATTTAAAGGGTACAGAGAAATAACACCTGAGTCCTCAGGAATGGCAACGTATGGGGGGTATCATGGGCGAAACAGTATACTCTGTTATGTCCATGGTACTGCTCATGTCTATAGGCGACGGTTACTACTTTCAATCAGGTGGGCCGTCAGCTTATTTGCCATTCTAAGTTGTATAAAAAAAAATTTCAAGCATAGCCCTCGCCATAGCCCACTGAGTAATTTTGCAGCTTTTGCATACGGGCAATTGAGCAGGATTATGTTTCGGTTTAATAAGTCATCACTGGCAAAACGCACTGGTTAAAGACGTTCGTTTTCAAACTTTGAGTTTTTATTATCTATACGGTGTCAAATTTATTTAAAAATTGAAGTTATTTTTACATTATTAAAGTTTAAATTTCCGTTACAATTGAAACAAAGCCTTTAATATGGAAGACTAACGATCGGTATACTGAGATATTTGGTCGGGAATCATTGTAATCAACTTATAATTAAATCATGTTTTACAAAAACTACTTCAATTGTGGCAAAAATAATTATTTTGATTTTTAGGAAACAAATCTGTAAGCATTACTTTTCAGATAAAACAAAAAAAAATCGGTTTAGAACTAACGGAGTTATGAGGTAATAAACAAAAAAAAAGCCGAATTGAAAATTTCCTTCTTCCTTGAACGCGTTAGGTTGGAAAAATACCTCAATAAAGTTAACTACAGTAACTATAGAAATTTAATCACTAGTTCTTAAAAGCAGTATCTCTATTCTTACCAAGTTAAAAATGTCCATAATTAGATTTCAAACACAATTAAAGAGATGTGTAATTCTAAATAACATACAAATTGTTGACAAGAAAAAAGATTTCATAAATAAATAAGTATCTAATCATTTATCTGAATATTTCAGTGCTTTGGATATGGATGATATAGCCATCGAGACAAGAAGGCAAAAGAACATCGCTCGTAATGGTAAAGAGTTGCCATACGACAATTATCAAGATTTGGACGAGGTGAGTATGAAATAAGAATGACTCTTCTCCAACCAGCTTTTTTGTAATGGGTGATAATGGAATGGTAACTTCGCCTGCGCTGTCAGTATACACCGACAAGGCACCAGTAGAAATGATAGGTGAGAATGAATGCAAGTCAGTTGGTCTTCTCCAACCAAAGGTTGCTTGGAAGACATCGCTCTTAGTGATAAGGATGCCCATTGTTTTCTCAGTGTAATATTTTCTTGTAATTATTTGTACTTGTTTGCCAGAGGGAGACTTTGTATAAAAGTCGTTTGCTTGAGTTCCTCTGTCGCATTCGTGTTTCTACCGTAAAGCAGTTGTGGCTGTGTTTCGGTTTGAAGAAAGAGATATGGTAGTGAATTTACAGTGTACAGAGGTATAACACCTGAATCCTCAGGAATGGCAACGCATGGGGGGTATTATGGGCGAAACAGTATACTCTGTTATGTCCATGGTACTGCTCATGTCTATAGGCGACGGTTATTACTCTCAGTCAGGTGGACCGTAAGCTTGTTTGCCATTCTAAGTTGCATAAAAAAAAGGTAACATAGGATAAGTATATTTTATATACATATGTACGCGGGTAAATCCGCGAGAAACTAATAATGTTACATTTGTTCCAGATTTATGCTTATCTCGCTGATGTTGCTAACCGTTACCCCGATAGGGCCACTTTAGTCTCTGGTGGCAATTCCTTCGAAGGCCGCCCCATATATTACTTGAAAATCTCCACCACAAACTTCGAGGATGAAAGCAAGCCAGTCATCTTCATTGATGGTGGTATTCACGCAAGAGAATGGATCGCTCCACCCACAGTTACGTGGGCTATACACAAGCTGCTAGAAGACGTGACAGAAACCGATCTTCTGGAGCGATTCGACTGGATCCTGTTACCTGTAGTTAATCCAGACGGATATAAATACACTTTTACAGACGTGAGTAATATTTATAAAAGAAATACGATGACGACTTAACCCTTTTTCAAAAAAAGAATTCAGTGTAACCTTAAGCGATTGGTCATTAAATAAAATTGACATAAAAATGCTAGATGGCGTTAGAATCGACATTTGTGGTTATTAATAATTATTTCATAATGTTTGTCTTTATTCTCTTGTATGTTACAATTTTGTATTACACGTACTAGTAAGGAACATTGCGAGTGTGTGAGTTATAATGCAATAAAGATGTACCCATTCGAATCACTATTCCCAACCTGTTACGAGATTACGTTGGGTCGATAGCCAATCCCTATAATTACATATCAGCTATCTTTATCTATTTTTTCTGTCTCTATCACTATTTTCTTATAAACTATTAACTATTTTGTACTATTATAATGTTACTATTATAAACTATGTCTATTAAGAAAAATTTAAAAAACATTTCAAACTATTTACAAAGTCTGTGAGAGCGATGATCGGGAACAAAAGAAAAGATCGCGTCTTATCTGTCACTTCACAAATAATGCATAATAATGAAATCCACTCACTAATTTAGAAATTAGTAATTATCTTCAAGTTATCTATAATTACAAAATAATCAACAAAACCACAAGTCGCGATTTCAGCGCCATCTAGTACATATATCGTGTCCAATTTTGCGTAGTGACCAATCTCATTAAAGACTGTTTTATGTATTGAAACAATTCTTTGTTGTTATATTACTTTACATCTGACGATTTACTTAATCAGTGTACAGAGTCCGCAAGTTGGTAAAAACGATTTTCACCTTTTCGTACAATACTTGCAAGTAAGTTGTTGGAGAGAATTAAATTAACTTTTAGACATTTGCGCTGCATGATTTATGAGCGCTAAATTCTTTGCTAAGTTAATTATAGATATTTTCAACGGATGTATTGTTAATTTAATAATAAGATAAACATTGGAATGATTATAACTCCTGGGGTAGTCAGAGACATTTATCAAATTTTACTATGGTATGGTATATGGTATAGGGTATTGTTGTCAAAACCCCCAAAGGCTATGGGAGATGTCTAGTACAGTAGTGGATATTTAATAGCTGATATGATGAAATGATAAGTACAATAATGGCACACATTTGGGGGGAAAGGGATTGTTAGTAATGGAGGCTAAGAACCCCATTGCTAACAATATATCCAGCCAGGTTGACCTGCTCGCGGTTCTCTCTGGAAACTATCTTGGTTAATTCCTTGTGAATTCGTTATGATGGGCTAACTAGCCTGTTTTCATTCTCATCTATCACCCTTCACTGGTGCTCCGCCAGCATATCCCGTTAGCGTAGGCGGGGTTAACGTTCCATTTTCACCCATCAAAAAAAATGCACACATTCAATTTAGATACTATATCTTTCTTTTCATTTAAGAGTTTCTTCTTATCGGTACAATTAATTCATGCATCGTCTTCCAGCCAGTTCTATCCCAGACCATATCTTTGACCTTCCTATACGACATGACACCTAGTGTTTCCTTTATCTGTCCTATAAGGATATTCCTCGGTTTTCCTCTTCCTCTTTTATCCTCTATTTTTCCTTTTACTATATTCTTTAAAAAATCGTCATGTCGTATAAGGTGACGCAGTATTTGGCCTCGTCTATTCTCTATTATTTTTATTAATATTCGTTTCTCATTTACCCTTGTCAAGACTTCCTTGTTCGTTACTTCTGTCCAGCATGCCCTTTTCATTCTCCTTCATGTCCACATTTCTTAACACTTAAAGTTCTTAACATTTTGGGTAGGCATGTTATTTATCTTTATTTGAGATACATATGTCAATAAACATATCACGTTTAGTTAACATGGTTTATATATGTAAAATACATATAAATCGAAACAGGCGCATCCGTCCGTCATTCACATCTTTTACACCTGGGGTCCACTGAAAACCAACGTTGCGGCTTTGTTGTGCCCAGCCGTGACATATGCTGAGACGGGTCCCATACTTTGACCATCGCTCCAAAAATAAAGAGAAGTGTATACTGCATAGACAGAATCACTCCTATTTGTTATATTTACTCTGTTTTTTTTTCTTTCTTTTTTTTTGTATGCTTTTGTATGTGTTTGTATGTATATATGTATATGCATATTTTTTTAAATAATTAGTTATAAGTTTTGTTATTTGTGCTGTGTTTACCATTCATGTATGTTGTGTTCAAGTATTAAATATCTAACTATATATTTATCTATTTATTGTGGAGAATGCATTGCTTGATATTTTTTTAATGCAACAAAGAATGGCAAACAAGCTGACGGCCCACCTGATGGAATAGTGATAACGTTCGCCTATAGACACGAGCAGTTCCATGGACATAACAGAGTATACTGTTTCGCCTATGAAACTCCCATGCGTTGCCATGCCTGAGGACTCAGGTGTTATTCCTCTATACCCAGTAAATTCACTGCCATATGCCCTTCAAACCGAAATACAGGCATGCAAATACAACTGCTTTACGGTTAAAATACGTAAGGGACAGAGATGCCCAAGCAAACGACTTTTGTACAAAGTCTCCCTCTGGTATTTCATATTTTACCGAATATATATATATGAAATACATTTTAAATCCGATAAATACACATGAAGACAATTGCATGAATAATTTAAAAAAGCTTATATTAATAATCTAAAAATAAATGCACAAAAATATATGTAGAAACGGAAGCGAATTAACGGCAGTTGCTTATTTCAAAGGATTCCTCGACTTCTCAGTTTTGTTGTGGAGTTAATTTCAGTTCACATTAACTTCAGTGTTTGCAAATCATTTTTAACGTAATTCTTGGTAATCTGTTTTCGTAAACAAATTGTAAATAATATCTACGATTTCTGTCAACAGTCATGACTGTGGGCACGTGGTGGAATTTTGTGTACATATTGATTATATAAAACACTTGTGCTTGTCCAAAAAAAAAATGTTTTATAATAAATACCTGACCGGTTTAGTCGTTTAGAGCATTTTTAAACCTTTGTTTCCTATAAATACCAATTTCAGGGGGGAAAGGGATTGTCAGTAATCGGGGACTCATTGCTAGCAATATACCCTAACAGGTCGAACTCTACGTGGTCCCCCCTGGAAACCATCGTGGTTAATTCTAATGAAATTATTACGATGGGCTAACTGACCTGCCCTTTCATCCTCATCAATCAACTCTCACTGGTGCCCTGGCGTGTATCGATAGCGCAGGCAGGGTTACCATTTCATTATCATCCATTAAAAAAATACCAATTTCATTTGTAAGTATATCTATAATAAAATAACTTCTATTCTGTGAGATTAGGAAATAAAATCAGAGCATTCCCAGATTAAGGGCAACGAATAAACAACAAAAAAAACAGAACGTAATCAATCTGTACTAATATTATAAATATTATTACCAGAGGGAGACTTTGTACAAAAGTCGATTGCTTGGGTACCTCTGTCTCATTCGTGTTTCAACCGTGAAGCAATTGTGTTTGCATGGCTGTGTTTCGGTTTGAAGGGTGGGATATGGCGTGAATTTACTGGGTACAGAGGAATAATACCTGAGTCCTCAGGAATGGCAACGCAGGTATCATGGGCGAAACAGTATACTCTGTTATGTCCATGGTACTGTTCATGTCTATAGGCGACGGTTACCACTTTCCATCAGGTGGGCCGTCAGCTTGTTTGCCATTCTAAGTTCTATAAAAAAAAAAAAAAATAAGAAAGTCAGTTTGTTTATTTCCACTTAGAGTTTTAAGAGATGACAAACAAAGCATTTACCAGAGGAAGACTGTACAAAATCGATTGCTTGGATACCTCTGTCCCATTCGTGTTTCAACCGTAAAGCAGTTGTTTGTATGGCTGCGTTTCGGTTTGAAGGGTGGGATATGGCGTGAACTTACTGGGTACGGAGGAATAACACCTGAGTCCTCAGGAATGGCAACGCATGGGGGGTATCATGGGCGAAACAGTATACTCTGTTATGTCCATGGTACTGCTCATGTCTATAGGCGACGGTTACCACTTTCCATCAGGTGGGCCGTCAGCTTGTTTGCCATTCTAAATTATATAAAAAAAAAAAAAATATGAGATGAAAAAAAAAAGGACAAATATTACCTTTCATCACGAACTGTGAACATAATTCTATCACACGAATGAAGTCGCGGGTAAAAGCTAGTAAGATTTATTTAAGTCTTTCAATGTTGTTGAATAGGTATTTTACTGATAAACTTTTCTAGTTTTAAAATTTTGTTTTGATTTCTGGTATATTATATTTCAGACTCGCTTTTGGCGTAAGACCCGTTCTACTGACCAAAGCAGTATTAGTACCACCTGTCCAGGAGTCGACGGTAACCGCAACTACGATTTCTTCTGGAACACAGTCGGAACTAGCAATGTTGCTTGTGCTGACAATTACGCTGGCAGCCGACCTTTCTCCGAAGTCGAGACACGGGTAGTCCAAAGCCTTCTGCAAGAGAACCTCCACAGACTAGCTCTGTACCTAACTATGCATAGCTACGGAAGTATGATTCTCTACCCGTGGGGGCATGATGGCAGTTTGTCCAATAACGCCTTCGCACTCCACGTGGTTGGAGTCGCTATGGCCGATGCCATCGCCGCCCATGCCTTACCTAATTTCCCTAGATATGTAGTTGGTAATGCTGTACTCGTAATTGGATATGCAGCATCTGGAGCAGCCGAGGACTACGCTCATTTGATTGGTGTCCCTCTATCTTACACTTATGAGTTGCCTGGTCTCGCCGGGGGTCTTAATGGTTTCCATCTAAACCCAATTTACATTGAGCAGGTGTGCCGTGAAACTTGGGAAGGTATTGTAGTTGGTGCAAGACGAGCTGGCGATTTATTTGTTCCATAATTATATAGTAATAAAATAAAATAATAATAATAAGTAATCTTTTATTAAATTAAACACTTTTCAATTTATTTGATTATACTATAGCAATGTTATGCTTTACATAAAAACCCTTTTCCTTACTCCTTTCGGGTTCTCAATATTTACTAGGAGAAATCTCTTTAAGGGATAAGTACATTTTTGATATAACCTAATATTTATAAGTGGGGGGAAAGGAATTGTTAGCAATGGAGTTTGACAGCCCCATTGCTAACAATATGCCTTATTAGGTCGACCTCCATTTTACAATTCTAGTTTAATTATCACGATTATACTTCATCCTCACCTATCATCCTTCAATTAGCGCGGGTGGGGTTGCCATTCCATTGTCATCCATTAAAGAAAAAACATATCTATAAGTGAATGTACAAAAACATATAAATAAACATAAATAACATTTATTTATTGTTCTTTTGTACTTCTATTTCAATAAAACACCTTATTTGTTCTTTTTTAAGGGGTTCAGTGTGGTCTAGAAAGTCTAATAGGCGTACGTGAAGCTATTTAATAGAATGCAGAAATTGATGTCCACAGATATGAATAGCACCATAGCTAATACAGAATACTCTGTGACGACATCGTATTGTATTACTATTCTTGAGAACTAAAGCGTTATGTATCTGTATCTTGTAATTTAAATACGATGTTATTTGAAATCTTCGAGCAGTTTGCTGAATGGCACGGATTTTAATATCAGATATATATATATATATTGAGCGTCCTTAAACTATAATGTACTTTGGGTTACGTAGTAACTATTAAAAAAATACCTGTATTTTGGCTTAAAATTATAGTAGGCTGATTGTATCGGAATCTTTTAAGATTACTGAGTGAGTGTGTGAGAGAGAGAGAGGGAGAGAGAGGGATGCGATTTGATGGACAGCATTAGTGCTGTCCATTAAAGTTGAATAATGCTTTCTACGTAAGTATGTTCATGCGTAGGTATTATATATTTTGTAGGTTTGTTAATTCCTCGAGACTGTAGCTGTAGATAGTACTCATTATGGTTTGGGGGGAAAGGGATTGTTAGTAATGGGGTCAAATACATTATTCTTCTTCGACCTCCATATCGTGATATTTATTTAATTCGTCACGATGGGCTAATTCATCCTCACCTATCATCCTCACTGGTACCCCGCAAGCGTATACCGATAGCGCAGACGGGGTAACAATACCATTATCACCCATTAAAAAAAAAAGTACTCATTATGGTAGGTCACAGATGGATCCAATTGATAGTCTATAGTAATTCCAAAGGATGTGATATGATGAACACGTGATAGTCGTGTAGTCCCGGCATAGAATAGGCCACTTCTTCCTTTCCCGTGGGTGTCGTAAGAGCCGACTAAGGGAGAGCGAGCGATGGGCAGTAGCGTCCTTCTTAAAATATCTCCAAAGTCTAATTGCGGTTGCCAATCCGTCTGCCAAGCGTGGCAATTACTGGTAAGACCCCCTAATGGGGAGGCTTATGTTCAATAGTGGTTAGTTAAAGGCGGATATGATGATGATGAAGAATTCCATAGGAAAATACTTTATTACTTTACACTTACACAAAGTTTAGACAGAAGTAACTATACTATAAATAGAAATAATAACCAAGCGAGTAGCTGTTAACAAATACGTGGCCTTTAGTTTATACATTTTTTTTTATTAATTTTTTTTATACTACTTAGAATAGACGGCCCACCTGATGGAAAGTGTGTGTTATAGACATAGCAGTACCATATATAACAGAGTACACCGTATGATACCCCCATGTTGTCATTCCTGAGGACTCGGGCGTTATTCCTCTGTACCCAGTAAATTCACGCCATATCCCACCCTTCAAACCGAAACACAGCCATGCAAACACAACTGCTTTACGGTTGAAACACGAATGGAACAGAGGTAATGACTTTTGTACAAAGTCTCCCTCTGGTGAATTCTATTAATTTTACAGTCACAATTATCAGATTATAATACATGCATAATCTAATTAATTGATATTATTTTATCAGTACGAAGCGTTATAAGGCCTATAACGTTGTAGATTTTTTTATTAAATAGTGGATGTGGTGGAACGATGAAGGCGTGGGCGGTGTTGCTTCTCTGCGCGGCGGTGTACGCCAAGCATGAACAGTACGCGGGGTTAGTTGCTTCAGTTTTTATTTTTACAATCCCGTTAGAAATGAAATGTAAAACATTGTTCTTCTTACCATAGATATTTATTTATTAATTTTATATCTATTAAACACTGTAACGCACTCCCGCTTGCCAGATCTGCTCCAAGTAAACTAGCTTTTAAATATATATATATATATATATATATATATATATATATATATAATTTAATATATTATGTGTGTGTTTATATTATATAAAAATTCCAGTTAGAAATTTTATATATTTTATCCTATATATATATATATATATATATATATATATATATATATATATATATATATATATATATATATATACATATGTAGTTCATATTACCTATACTTTAAAATATATCGAAATTGTATCTATTGAAGTTTGTCATATCAGTGTAATTAAATGTATGTATGTAAATGTAAATGTATGGGCTGATTACATAGCTCGAAGAACCGACAACCGATGGGGAAGAAAGGTTCTTGAGTGGCGACCACATACGAGCAAATGCAGTGTAGGACGACCCCCCACTAGATGGATTGACGACATTAAATGCATTGCAGGGAGTCAATGGATGCAGGTGGCTCAGGACCGTTCTTTTTGGTAGTTTATGGGGGAGGCCTATGTCCAGCAGTGATGATGTAAATGGGTTCCTTTTTTTTAAACATGGTAATCTAATATTAGAAGTTTACTTATGCATCAAATTGCAGATGGAAATCTTATTACATAGGACCGAAATCCCAAGAGCAACTGCAGTCTATTGGTTCATTAATCCAGAAATTTGAGTTGGACGTTCTGAGCCACGCAAACATAGAGCGAGAGGGTGTATTTCTTGTGAAGCCAGAATTCCAAAATGGACTCACCAATGCATTGGAAGAGCAAGGCATCGCATACAGGATTCATTCCGCTGATGTGAAAGCGTGAGTTAAAGTTATTAAAATATTAGCATAAATATAGTTTAATAATACAGAAAATATACAATCGAGTCAACATGTATAATAAATGAGTTTATTAAGATAATAGCTACAGAATTTAGATATAGATAGAGCATCGAGTCTCAAAAACGGGTCAACTATTTGTCAGCTAATTGTCATATTAGCTAATTCTTTTTTTATCAACGTTCTATATACTTACGCACATAATGTATCTTGACGTATCTATATTTAATTATTTGATAAATAAAATGAGTTTAAACGCATTAAAAAGACGCAAAAATTATAAAGTAAAATAAATATACTTAGAAGTGATGCAGTTGTGTTTACATGGTTGTGTTTCGGTTTGAAGGGTGGGATATGGCGTGAATGTACTGGGTACAGAGGAATAACACCTGAGTCCTCAGGAATGGCTACGCATGGATGGTATCATGGGCGAAACAGTATAAGTACTCAGTTATGTCCATGCTACTCCTCATGTCTATAGGCGACGGTTACCACTTTCCATCAGGTGGGCCGTCAGCTTGTTTAGCATTCTAAGTAGTATAAAAAAAGTTATAAAGGAAACGCACATATTTGTCATCCAAAATTGTATGAAAAAGTTGACCCGCTGTCTCGAAGCATTTGTATGGAAACATTCTATTTAAATAATCTAATCTATAGACATATATATACAAAATTAAATTAAACTTTATGTTAAAGTATGAATAAATAATGCATGATACAATGTATGGTTACAACTGTCATCAAAAGTGAATGGTTCTCTCTCTTTGTAAACTGCAGTACCTCTACGGGATGTCACATGTCTTATATGCTTACTTATTATATTATAATAACTAATTTGCACCATGTGGCATGCAAATAAATTTAATTAAATAAATAAAGTAAATCACAAATAATTATTTTACAATAATATCACAGAGAAATCTGGTTTAGAATGTGCTATCACTGTATTGTACAATTCTCTTTCTTAAAGTATGAAGGTTGGTACAAACTGTATCTACCAGTCCATAAAGAGATTACAAAAATATATGCATAATTAATGACCAAGTTCAAGTTTAAGCTTTTTGAACCGATTGATTTCAAGAGTGTTTATTAATCAATCATTGTAACTTAAAACGGCGAACAAGCTGATGGCCCACCTGATCGAAAGTGGTCACCGTCGCCTATAGACATGAGTAGTACCATGAACATAACAAAGTATACTGTTTCGCTCATGAAACCCCTCATGCGTTGCCATTCCTGAGGACTCAGGTGTTATTCCTCTGTACTCTGTTCACTGCCGTATTCTAACTCTTCAAACCGAAACACAGCCATGCAAACACAACTGCTTCACGGTAGAAACACGAATGGGACAGAAGTGCTCAAGCAAACGACTTTTGTACAAAGTTTCTCTCTGGTAAACATTGTGTACTTCTGAGATTACATTTGTGGTTTCACAGGGATCAATAATAGGTCTTTTATTAATACTTGCATTTTAATTCATCTCATATTACTAATATTTCACGCGATTAATTTAAGAAAAATTAAAATGAGTAGTATTAATATGAACAATAGAGGTCAAAATAGTAATTTAAAAAAAATTGTCAGTGCAAATATTACTGGCAAAATGCTGGGCCACCTTATACGACATGACGATTTTTTTAAGAGCATAATAGAAGGAAAGATAGAGGGCAAAAGAGGAAGAGGAAGACCGAGGATTAACTACATGGGACAGATAAAGGAAACACTAGGCGTCATGTCGTATAGGGAGATAAAGGATATGGCCTGGGATAGAGCTGGCTGGAGGAAGATGCATGAATTAGTTGCACCGACAAGAGGAAACTCTTAAATGAAAATGAAATGCAAATATTACTACACCAAAGTGAATACGGTTTTCACAGTTGTATTTTTGAAAGCCTAATTTAAAATTTGAAATGTTATATCTTTATATTTTATTTAAAAGTGAGCTGTTTAATTGATTTTCCTCCTCAAACGACGAGTATGAAGTAGTGGCCAAATAGCTTTATAAACTACATTTATTTGTATATATTTTCAGTTCCCTTGATCTAGATGATATAGCCATCGAATCGAGAAGACGTGAAAATCTTGCCCGAAAGGGCAAAGAATCTCCTTATGACAATTATCCAAATTTAGATGTGGTGAGTGAAAATATAATTATCATAGAAATTACACTTACTCATAAGTAAACAAAATGAACTAAACCTTGCTCAACTTGGTCAATTTGATCAGTCGAGAATTTTTTTTTAACTTCAGCTTCAAAAACTGAGAACAATTTATTAGTATTTGTGTAAGGTAAAACATCGCAGTAAAAGTGTTTTATAAGGAAAAGATTTTGTCTGTCGAGGAGGACTAACCTGGCATTGGCTTCGTGAGTTTTTCTGCTGTAGGTGATCGGCAGTTCTTCCTCAACTCCTATATGCACGCACACACAAATTCTTACAGGTTCTTCAGGGCACATACAGTTTAAAACATACAAATTACATTTGTTTTAGAGGAGCAAGTGTCCGCGCACACGCCTCCACTCAGTACTCTTTTTTATTCGTTAAACTAAGGTGGGAGAAAAATAATAATGACGGACTCCAATATTGTAAACAATCTGTGTTTTATTACAAAGAGATTAAGGCTTTATTTTGAACAGTATTTATTAAACAATTTATAGTTCCGTAAATCATAATTATTCTTTATGTATGAACATATTACAGTGATACTCTTGTTATTAAAGTTTATGAACATATTATGATCCAAAAAAGAAATTACCGAAGTGAAGCTAAATCTTGGGAGAATGATAATGGAAAATAATGAGGTTGAATATATAGTTTCTTTACATATTTTATTTTACCAGTATATTTTATTTAGTTATTTTCCAATTGAAGCTAATATACTATACAATTTTATTTTGTATCTGTAAAGATATTTATTTATTCAAAAATAAAAAGGTTGTATTTTTTATATTTGTTGCCTCATAAGTAAACTGACTGGCAAAATTTTTTTTATTTGAAAGATTATAGTTAATTAGTTCCAGTGAAATTTTATCAACATCGGCTTAGTTTTGAAATTAAAATAACTTAATTTGCCACAAATAAAGTGGATTTATTTTGTAGAATACAATATTAAATTATTTTTCATTAATATGTATTTGAACAATTGTAATAAGAATTTTATAAGCGACTATCTGTAGATTAAAATTCCAAGGGATAATGAGATAAACAGGGAATTAATAATTAATAAACGGACCCTCGAACCAGGTACTCAGGTTGTGGAATGACTTCCAAAGGTCTATGAGGTTTCAGAGCTGTTTTCTAGAGACTAAAGTACGGAGCTCTTAAAAAAGGGTGTTATAAGGTTTTTTAACGGGTAGTGACACATTCGTGACACCCCTAGTATTACAGGCAACTTTAGGCCACGATAACTGTCTACCATCAGACAGGGATGTAGTACAAAAAAAAATATTTTTACTCATTCTAGATTAACTCTTACCTCGCTGATGTTGCTAGACAATATCCAGACAGAGCCACTCTAGTTTCTGGAGGTAATACCTTCGAGGGCCGTCCGATCAATTACTTGAAGATCTCTACCACCAATTTCGAGGATGAAAGCAAGCCAGTCATCTTCATTGACGCTGGCATTCACGCAAGAGAATGGATTTCTCCTCCCACAGTGACCTGGGCCATACACAAACTTCTAGAAAATGTGACAGAACCCGACCTTCTGGAGCGGTTCGACTGGATCCTGTTACCTGTAGTTAATCCAGACGGATATGAATTTACTTTTACTACTGTGAGTGATATTGTAGAAAATCCTTTTTAATTTAAATCTATGAGTCATGAAACTTGGAACATCAGTGATAATTTCTGAAATGAAATGGCCTATAATTAAGATTCCTTTCCGCTTTGGGTTTGCTGCAAGAGAACTCTTGCATAATTGAACTCGTCTTTGTTCATTGACTTTTCATTGCCACGTTTCCTTAAATATTTCAAATAATTTCGTCCAAAATTCGACACAAAATATAAATTTTATTTTTGCAAGTTTATAATTTTATAAGCAGTTCTGAACATCTAGATTTTTTTATTTCAGACTCGCTTTTGGCGTAAAACTCGCTCTACTGATCAGAGCCCAATAAGTAACTCGTGTCCTGGAGTCGACGGTAACCGCAACTACGATTTCTTCTGGAACACAGTTGGTACTAGCAATGATCCATGCTCCGATATATTCGCCGGTAGCAGGCCTTTCTCTGAAATTGAGACGAGAGTAGTTCAGGGTATTCTGCAGGAGAACCTCCACAGACTAGCTCTGTACCTAACTATGCATAGCTACGGAAGCTTGATTCTCTACCCGTGGGGTCATGATGGTAGTTTGTCCAATAACGCCTTCGCACTCCACGTGGTTGGAGTCGCTATGGCCGATGCCATCGCTGCCCATGCCTTACCTTTTTTCCCAAGATATGTAGTGGGTAATGCTGTACTCGCGATTGGATATGCAGCATCTGGAGCAGCCGAGGACTACGCTCATTTGATTGGTGTTCCTCTATCTTACACTTATGAGTTGCCTGGACTCGCCGGGGGTCTTAATGGTTTCCATTTGGACCCAATATACATTGAGCAGGTGTGCCGTGAAACTTGGGAAGGTATTGTAGTTGGTGCAAGACGAGCTGGCGATTTGTTTGTTCCATAAATTGAATATACTTGATTTGTAATTTGTGACATATTTTGCAATGTTTTATTAAATACTCAGAAATTATCAGAATATGCCATATTTATTTTCCCTTCTTGATTTCAGTTTCTAGCAAATCTTAATATTTCTTAAACGAGAAATCATCATCGTGTTAGTTGTTAACTATCCACTGTTGAGTATTTGCCATGTTCGACAGGTGGTCTGATAAACAACTTTGATGATGTTTTAAAAGGGACGCTGCTGCTTATCTCTCGATCATCGATCGATCCCTTAGTTACCTCTAACAACAAAGGTAAAGGAAGGGTATTCAAATAAAATTGAATATAATATTGAATATGAATAGGTTACAAATAATGTGGACGAATGGCATGCAAGATTGTATGTGTAGGATAAGATTGATTGTGCAGTCAACACGTGACTCTTCGGATTAGGTATCATCGTGAAACTTGGAAATACATCTATTTACAATATAAGATGAATAGGTGATTGCACTCAGTCATTTTTTCAACTTATAAATCTTATATATAAAATTCTCGTGTCACGGTGTTTGTTACCAAACTCCTTCGAAACGGCTTTACCGATTTTTATGAAATTTTGTGTGCATATTGGGTAGGTCTGAGAATCGGCCAAAATTTATTTTTCATACCCCTCAATGATAAGGGTGACCCTCCCCAAAAAAATTTTTTTTATTTTTTTAACAAATTTTTCCATTTTTATTTTATTATGATTTAGCATTGAAAAATACACACAACTTTAAATTTTCATCGTTTTACGATCAACCCCTGTCCTTTAATCGCGATTTTTATATTTCGCAATAAGTGGTAAAACAACGTTTACGGGGTCAGCTAGTAGATCTTATAAAAATATCACACAATAGTTTCTGTTGTTTGTTGAATTTTTTTCCTTTACTTGTGCTATCTAACAATGCTTCTTGCCAAATTTCATGATTCTAGGTCAACAGGTTTTGATTCCCTTTGTAAATGTCAAAACATACGAATTAAATGGAACATACACGGCTGTATCTTTTCATTGCGTCGATTTAGAAGCTTCATTTATTCACTGCTTTAAGAAATTGCAGACCTAAGTGTATGATATTAATTTCAACTCTACGCGTTCCTAAGAAAAAATGTCTTGACAGACGGACAGACAGACAACGTAGTGATCCTATAAGGGTTCTGTTTTTTCTTTTAGAGGTACGAAAACATAAAAGGAAGAAAAACCCAACAATTTAATATCTTTTTCTCTGAGTTTCATATCGTGATTTGGAATAACCTTGGATTTAGGTTATCTTTCCAATTAAAGTATTATCCAATGCGATTAACCGTGATAATGTAAAACGTGATTAAGTACGTTTCATATTTATAATAATATGGGACGATATGGTGACATTTAGAATTGTAAAATTTGATTTTACCGTAAATCAGCAATAAGTGTTCTCAACAATCTTAATAGACACAAATAGAAACTCGCTGTTCCGAAGTATCGTTTGGAAAAAGTTAATAGGTATTTTATGGGAATGGGTAGATATTAAATATTATAATAAGGTACCAAAGGATATTTTGGATCTACCTTTTAATATATTTAAAACTAATATATTTAAAATAACTATATATTTAAAACTAAAACAACAATCTGTAGTTAACATTGTTGGTAGTACTATTAATCACATTGAAATGTAAACTTATTATAATTATATTATATTTTACTGTTTGTTAACTATTATAAAATAAAATAAAATAAACTGTAATTAAGAAACATAATAAGGTTTCTTAATAGGTTTTGTTTAATAGCATAAAGTCTTTTATGCACTAAATGCTTACTTGAATAACAAACATGCATGTTGGTAGTCGATCATGCATGGGCTGTATGATCATGTTATTTTATCAACAGAACAAATCGAGAATAATAAGAAAGTATTTTATTAACTACCCGCAAACGCAATAAACACATACACCCTTAATTGAGTTTCTTCAAACAGGCAATATAGGATTATGGCTGTTCTATAAATTGTGTAAAATCATTATGAATTTTGATAAAAAAACAATTATTGTAAAAGAATAAATATTTCGAATCAATCAAATTCTGGTAAAGTATTAGGCATAAGCTGATATGCTGATTAAGTTGGTACACTTGGACGTATTAATCTAGAATTTAGTCTGGTCAATGTTAAAATGAATATTTAAATTATAATACTAATAAATGAAATGATAGTTGGCAGAGATTTGTGAAAGAAAGAGACATACTGTGCCAACTGTCCAAATAAAAGAGCAAGACAATAATGACTTTAATATACAGATGAGACAATTTTATTAATAAAGCTAAACTGTAGGTTACAGGCTTAGATTATATAGATAGAACATTAAGTCTCAAAAACGGGTCAACTTTTTATCAGCTAATTGTCAAATTAGTTTTTTTTAACACAGGGGGCAAACGAGCATGCAGCTCACCTGGTGGTAAGTGACTACCGCCGCCCATGATCACCCACAACACTAAAGGCATTGCAGGTGTGCAAAGCCTGTGTGCTGAGCGTTATTGTTGTCCTATATACTTACAATATTATTACGATTACGGTTAAAATTAACTGTAATCAGATATTTTAATATTGGGCAGTCAAACTGTTCCCGGATATCTTTAATAATCGCTACCATTATTACCTGCTACTATTTATTTAATTCCATGTTTGTGTTGTAACTTCTTGATAGAATTTCATTTCATTTTTCTTAGACTATATAGGTAGAGCGTCAAGACTCAAAAATGGGTCAACCATTTGTCAAATTAGCTGACTCGTTTTTATAAGTATTCTATGTGCGTAAGTATGTATCTTGACGTTTCTATATTTAAATAATTAATAAATAAAACGAGTTTTATGCATTAAAAAGGTGTAAAAATCATAGAACCAAATAAATATAATATAAGTACTAAAGGAAATACATTTAACTATTTATCACACAAAATTGTATGAAAAAGTTGATCCGAAGTTGTACGAAGTTTTCACGAAGCATTTATATGGAAATAGTCCATCTATATATCTGAGGTTACTGGTAACCAATACGATAAAGTAATTTTTATGAAAGAATAATTAAAAATCAACATCTTAGCTCTTAAACTGAGGAAATCCTATTAATGTTTAGAAGTTTTCGAAGAAAGGTATAGAGATAATGCCGGAACTAGCATTAATAACTTGATCAGTTGCAAAATTACATTTCTAGGAAAAATATATAATATAAAGTATAATGAAACGAAGTACTTTTTAGAAATATGTCAAAGGATATAAGGAAATAAAAAAGAAACAATATAAATTTGTTAATTCATTTAAAATTTTATTTCACTCAATATAATATATAACCAGTATAATATAAAATCAGTTATAATACATCAATGACGGTGTCTTCTTTTATCAAGATCTCTCACATACCTAGCTCCTACTTTTAGACCCTCCCATGTTTCGAAGCCAGCTTGTTCAATAAATTCAGGATCAACAAGAAAACCATTCAAACCACTGCTACCTCTGTAAGATGGTAGCTCATAAGTATATGATAGTGGTATTCCTATACCTAGAGCATAATCACTGGCAATTCCTGATGCGGCGTACAGTACATAGTAAACATTACCAACAGTATAATCTTTATTTGAATCCCATTTAACATTGTCGATCGCATGAGCCATAGTAACTCCAACATAATTAATAACAAGGGCATTTGGGGGCAATGCACCTAGTCCATAACCGTACAAGATCAAGCTACCATGACTGTGGATGTCAAAGAAGATTTCAATTCGAGAACCGTACTCTGCTAAAATGTTCTGGACAACTGATGTTTCTGATTCGGAAAATGGTCCCAAACCATGAAAGGTCTCAGAACAAACGTTAACACTAGATGCTTCCCCCCAGAAGATACCGAAGTTGCGATTGAGATCCACACCCAAACAGCTGTCTCCATCCGTGTAATTAGTAGCACGGTTCTTCCTCCAAAATCGATTCTGTTTTTCAAATATAAATAATAACATTTTTAGTTCCAAAATCACATATTTATTACTATTACTTTGTAAGATTAAAACTTTAAGACATCAAAACAACTTATAACATTTCACTGCTGGGGGCTTTTCTCCACCAGATGATCAATTTGCCTATCATATTATATTGGATAGGAAGCATAGTATGGGGTTTAATTTCGAGTATTCTGTAGGAATACAGGCCACATAACTATTTTATCTATAGTTTTAATATTATTATTTACTAAATTCGAAACTGAAAAATCTTTTTATTGTTTTCTTTTGGCTTCCCTTCATGGCTCTAGACTTCTAAGTTCCATCTTATAATATATTTTCAATTTCCACTCGTGGTTTCCTTTGTCTCCTTTTTTGTATTAATGTAGTGTGCAGGTCCCCTAGGCAGTTTTAATGACATCTTGGTAATCAAAAGGAGTGGTGAGATATTATAATAGTTACTCCGTCACGACATGGATAGTTTTAATTCTAACTTAACAAAATTTTCATATAATTTCACCTATTATTTAACAAATAGGAAGCTCTTAGAATATTAGACCCTATACTAATCACTTATTTATATTCTCTAATCATTTAAAATTTTCAGCATTTCCTTTTTATCTTTTAAAATAATTCACACTTTTTACAATTACAAAGTAATTTAGTTTTTTATAGTGAAAAGTATTGGGGCTGGCCTACTTCCAGCAGTGAATAAATACAGGCTGAAATGGTAATAATAAAATTAGTTCATCAAACTTACTTCGGTGTGGGTGAATTCATATCCATCAGGGTTAAGAATAGGTAAAATAATCCAGTCAATATCCTCTAGAAGATCCTGTTCTGTTACATCGATGACGAGTCTTTCAATTGCGTATAAGGTTGCGGGGAGAGTGATCCACTCGCGAGCATGAATAAGTGATTCCAAGTATACGATGGGCTTGCTTCTATCCTAGAAATATATTAGAGCGGTAATGGAACATTCTGAAAATATTTTCACTAGTATTGCTTTTAGAAGTAATACGAATAAGAGAATTGATTGCTTTGTAATATTGTAAATATATTTTATCGCTGCTTTCGTCAATTCTTAAAAATTCGTGAGAATTCTTACCATCTACTGTGAGAGTACTAATGTTTTAAGTATTTAAATTTTTTTTTATAATTTCCTATAATATTTATAGAAGAGTTTTAATTATCGTTATAAAAGAAGATATTTAATATTTACATACATTTTGGATTATGGATTAGACAATTTGGACCAAATTTGTTGCCAATGTCAGAATTAATTGCCCTCTCAGATTTTGATCTATGACCACTAAGATTTTTTTTTAATTGATAATTATTTTATTTAAGGAAATATTACAATTGAATATAATCCTGAGAACTTTAAAAACCAGAGGGACACTTTGTACAAAAGTCGATTGCTTGGCTACCTCTGTCCCATTCGTTTCAACCGTTAAGCAGTTGTGTTTGCATGGCTGTGTTTCAGTTTGAAGGGTGGGATATGGCCTGAATTTACTGGGTACAGAAGAATAACATCCGAGTCCTCAGGAATGGCAACGCATGGGGGTATCATGGGCGTAACAGTATACTCTGTTATGTCCATGGTACTGGTCATGTCTATAGGCGACGATTACCATTTTCCGTCAGGTGGGCCGTTAGCTTGTTTGCCATTTTAAGTTGTATAAAAAAAAAATTTAAAGGACATTTTTAAGTCAAGGTAATTTTGGTGATGTGGTAAAGAAACTTAGATTAATACAAAGAAAATCATGAAGAATCATCAGGATTGGAGCTAGTTATACAGTAAACAATCGTATAACCTAAAACGTCAATATCACATGCATGACTATTTCCTCTTATTATAAATATTGCATGTATGCAATTATTACATGTACCTCGAAGTTAGTTGTAGAAATCTTCAAGTATTTAATGTCCCTGCCTTCGAAACTTCTTCCACCTGATACCACGGTGACTGTTTCAGGGTACTGACTAGCCAAGTCCACCAGATATTGATCAACCTGGAAATTAGTTATTAATAATGACGAAAGGAATTTGTTTATTTTGACGCATTGAAGTTTCATTGGTATCATTTGATGCAAACTGCTGTGACGTGTCCTTTCTCGTATAACCAGACCATTTTGGTTTTGAATATACCGAAAGGAATCTAATGTTTTACCTTTAATTTTTGTAGCAAGAATTACACTAATATTTAGGCAAAGGAAAAACAGATAAACAAACTACGGCTGATAAACAAAGGAAAGGAAGGAATAGAAAAGCAAAATAATGTGACCTCAAATTTAGATAGATCGACTGAAAAAAAAGTAAAAAAAAAAATATGTATATAAAGCTCGTATACATAATACTTTTACGTACCACACTGTAATTGTGAATGGTGTCAAAAGAGAGACCAATTCTGGAACTGAACCCGTTCCTATTTTTCGATGCAGCCGCAAGCAATTCATCTTCAAGTAGCAGTTGTCTATAACAGATAAAAAGATATATCCTTTTAAAGCCGTTTCCAAAAGGAAGAATTAATATAGCTATTTGAAGTAGCGCAGAATTGGAAATTTTGGAAAGAGATGGGAGAGAATTTTGCCCAGTAGTAGGATACCATGGGTTGACAAGAGAACAATAGAATAGGGGCAAACGAGTATGCTCCTCACCAGATGGCAAGTGATTATCGCTACCTATAAGCAACTGCAACCGCAGTTAGCCTTTGGTGATGTTATAAGAGACACGCTGCTGCCGATTCCTCGACCATTAAGTTCCTTTAGTCGCTTCTTACGACACCCACAGGAAAGGAAGGGGTGGCCCATTCTATCCCGTAACCATACAGCAAAGAAATATTCATATGTATGTTTTTACTATATAAAAAAAGTAGTTTCTAATACTGATCTTGGAAATTTGTACTCAAATTACTTGGAATACTGAAAAAAATGATGCGCATTCTTTTGATGTTAAAAAAATGAGTCAAAATTCAATCAAAGTGATTTTTAGCAGAGTAAATTTTTACGTGTTTTTTACATTCCATGATCTATACAATCTAAGCTTTAAAGATTAATAATTACTGAAACTACATTATATACTTACTCTCTAATATTGTCTGTTTCAATTTTGTATTCTATTCCAATAGCTGAGAGTTCGTTTTGAAACTCCTTCCTCTGGTCTTTTGGGACGAGGATTTGTCCAGTATTACCGGGTACAAGATGAGTCCAGACATCGACAGGAATCTGATTCTCCAACTGCTTGATTAGTTTCGCTTGCTCTTCATTGGTTATTGTAACTTCATACAGGGCATAGCTGGAATGTATGTGTATTTATTATACCTGCGACTTTCTCCATGCGGCCGAGGTATTTTAATTGACAGGGATTAAAAGCAGTATAAATCCTTCTATACTAAGCTACATCATCATCATACCAGCCTTTAACTGTTCACTGCTGATCAAAAGCCTCCCCTCAAGGAGTTTTGCCAGTAGTCGCTACGCTTAGCAGATGGAATGGCAACCGCAGTTAGGCTTTGGAGATATTTTAAGAAGGATTTTGCTGCTTATCCTTTGACCATTAAGTTTCCTTAGTCGCCTCTTACGACATCTATGGGAAAGGAAGGGGTGGCCTATTCTGTGCCCGGACTACATGGCTACTAATACTATATGTGTGCTAAATTTTATAGGAATTGTTTGAGCAGTTAAGATGCCAAGAAATAACCAACTCACTCACGGAGATATACTGCAAAATATATTCTTAGTTGAGTTAATATTTATTCAAAAGTCTTTTTATCTCGGGTCTGAGAACGTATACCGATGATGCAGACGATGTTGCAAATAAAAGCTGGTTAATATAATAAATACAAACGTTTATAACGATGGATAAATGAATAGATAGATGTTTATTACATTTTCATGTAAAAACAACTGAACGGATTTTAATAAAAGTTTATATACAGGTTATAACTTTGGATATTTTATATACTTACATGCGGGCAAAGCTGCAGGATACAGCTTGTGAATAAACAAATATACTCTTTTTGTTATTCGTTTAAAAGTATTCTTACCCTTCATATTGCTCGTGCCTGGCGATCACCACAGAAAAAAACAGGCAAGTCGAAAATATTGTCTTCAACATTGCAGACCGATGTCCTTGACCACTTTTCAAAAATAAACTGTATATAGAACAAAACAAACGGTTTTATTGTAATCTATTTTATCTATATAAGTAGACAGAGTTCAACCCAGTTTTTATTAATCGATCCGGTTAATCCTAATCTATTAATTTTGTTGCGATAACGTTTAATCTTAGCAGCAGTTTAGTGCTGCCAGGTGCCACTTGACAGGTGTTAAGCGAAATACTACAAGAACCTCGGGGGAAAGGGATTGTTAGTAATGTGGTCTAATGAACCCATTGCCAGCAATACACCCTATCAGGTCGACCTCCACGCGGTTCCCCCTGGAAATCATTGTGATGAATTCCTAGTGACTTCATCACGATGAGCTAACTGACCAGAGAGAGACTTTGTACAAAAAATTCGATTGCTTGGATACCTCTGTCTCATTCGTGTTTCTACCGTGAAGCAGTTTTGTTTGTATGGCTGTGTTTCGGTTTGAAGGGTGGGATATGGCGTGAATTTACAGGGTACAGAGGAATAACACTTAAGTTCTCAGGAATGTCAACGCCTGGGGGGTATCATGAGCGAAACAGTACACTCTGTTATGTCCATGGTACTGTTCATGTCTATAGGCGACGGTTACCACTTTCCATCAGGTGGGCCGTCAGCTTGTTTGCCATTCTAAGTTGTATAAAAGTTTGTTTGTTGTAACTTCATAAGCTGTCTAGAAGTTGTCTACTTCATTATATTAGATTTCCTACTTCCGAATTTCATACGTACGAAGTAGCGGGCACAAATCTGGTATACAGTGTCTTAGCAATTGTTAGGGTTTCCTTCTGTATTGGTTGGTCCATTTTGAAGCTGCTGTTGTCTTCGCGGAGCAAAAACTGATTGTGACGTAACAAAATTAAATTGTAAACATACAATTATATGCTCGTGTGGTCCCGGCATAGAATAGGCCACCCCTTCCTTTCCCGTGGGTGTCGTAAAGCCGATTGAGGAAGGTCGAGGGATGGGCAGAAGTTTCCCTTTCAAAACATCTGTAAAACCTAACTGCGGTTGCCAATCCACCTGCTAAGTGTGGCAACTACTGGTAAACCCGCCCAAGGCTTACGTTCAGCGGTGGACAGTTAAAGGCTTGATATGATGATGATGATGATGATGATTTGATGATGATAATGCATTCTAAATTCAAATATTGTATATCTAAACATTTTTTAATCTATTCACAAATCAATTTCACTTTTTACTACTGAATATACGCTCGTGTTAACAGTAATTTACTTGAAATACTCGTAAACTAATAAAATAAACCTAAAACGACCATTCCATTTTCCATAATCGGGATTAAAGTTAGCTATATAAAAGGTAAAATCATTTAGACTTGAAGCACGTAGCCACTTTTCAGTCCCATTCCGACGTGCCTAACTACCAAATAAACATAGTATAAAAGTGAGATAATAAAATACAAGTATAAACGTGACCTTTTACTGATATAAATGTATATATTTATTATATTCTTACGCCTTTGGAATTGGCAAAATTATAACTGATTATCGATTTGGCTTCTATTACAGCCTTTGACTGTCATCTCCTGAATATAAGCCTCCCTGTGTTTTTTTTTAATGGATGATACTGGATTTGTAACCCCGTCTGCGCTATCGGTATACGCTGACGGAGTACCAGGGAACCATGATAGGTGTGGATGAAAAGGCAGGTCAGTTAGCCCATCGTGACGAATACACTTGGAATTCAGTACGATGGTTTTCAGCCTCCCTATGTTCAGCAATGTAACGTTAAAGGCTGCAATAGAAACTAAAACAAAATTTAGTTATTATTTAGCCTATTCCGAAAGGTACCCAAGCCATCGACTTTTGTACAAAGTCTCCCTCTAGTAAAACATATACCAGATGTTAGATCTTCAGAAACATAAGCAATTACTTTTTGTTTTATTAATTTTTTTTTGCTTTAAACAGACATTTGACATTATAAGGGCCATGTGACAAAGCTTTTTGGCATCTGTTTAATTGCCTTAAAATTGTAGGCATGCAAATCTAATACTGCAAAATCTAATACCGGCAAAACCCGCCGAAGGGGAGGCATAATAATATTTAGCAGTGGATAGTTAAAGGCTGATGTGATGATGATGAAGTTAGAGATACCCATGAAAATTTTGTACAAATTCTCCCTCCGTTAAAACTTTAATAAATATTGCAAATTAACCCCTATTAATTTAATAAATAACAAATTACCCTACTTTGTATCGAACGTCGATAAAACACAGGTATGTTTGTCCTCTATTGTCCTTATCTATACATTAATATGGTAAAAACCCTCGTTTAAATCGTCTTATGTTACATTAACAGAAATCTATAATTATCACATTATCTTTGATACATAGTGATACTAGGAGTGTAAGAATTTAATAACAGAAATTGTATAATTATATCATTAGAGTTTCTAGTCATTTTTTGTATTATCGTCATTGTGGTAAGGAGATGAAGGCGTGGGCGGTGTTGCTTCTCTCTGTGATAGTATACGCTAAGCATGACCAGTACGAGGGGTTAGTTGCTTTTATATTTTGAGGGATTCAGCTTTTTCTAACCTTTTCAACTGGGGGATTAGCAATCCCATTGCTAGCAAGGTCGATCTACACGTTCCTCCTCCTGGAAACCAATCTGACTGATTTATTGTTCAATTCGTCATGATGGGCTAACTAACTTGTTCTAAAATCTATCATCCCTCACTGGTACCCCGCCATGGTATCACAGCGCAGGCGGGGCAACCATTCCATTATAATCTATTAAAAAAAAACCTTTTCAACTTTGGTACTTCTATGTATTAATGTTTTTTTTTTTTATGGGTGAAAATGGTATGGTAACCCCGCCTGCGCTAACGGGATACGCTGGCGGAGCACCTGTGAAGGGTGATAGATGAGAATGAAAACAGGCCAGTTAGCCCATCATGATGAATTCAACAGGATTTAACGATGATAGTTTCTAGGGAGAACCGCAAGGAGGTAGACCTGGTTGGGTATATTGCTAGCAATGGGATTCTCAGTCTCCATTACTAACAATCCCTTTCCCCCCTGTATTAATGTATTAGAAAATCTAAGTTTACTTTTCTTTTTTTCTAACATAATGGGCAAACGAGCATTACGATTTGCATTGCAATGCAAAACGAGGGTTGCATGATCACTTCCATATGTTTTAAAAATAATGTAAGTACATCTATCTGTTTGTCTGTAGCACAAATTCTGCTAGAGTTTGAGGTAAACTAATAATTAATAAACTAATGATAATTCCCCGAGGCTATTTGTTTATTTACAACTTAATTAAATTTCAGGTGGAAATCGTATTACTTAGGACCAAAATCCCAAGAGCAATTGCAATCTATTGGTCCCTTAGTCCAGCAATTTGAGTTAGACGTTTTCAGCTACGTAAACTTGGAACGAGAGGGTGTGGTCCTCGTGAAGCCAGAACACCAAGATGGATTCACCAGGGCATTGGAAGAGAAGGGCATTGCTTACAGGATCCATTCTGCTGATGTGAAGACGTGAGTGAAAGTTATTTATTTAAAAGGACATGACATTTATGGTAAAATGTAAAAATTTGTTATTTTCACAATTCCAATATTTTTTACGCAATTTAGAATTGGGAATAAGAGTTTTTTTTATGCAAATTAGAATGGCAAACAAGTTGATGGCCCACCTGATGGAAAGTGGTAACCGTCGCCTTAAGACATGAGCAGTACCATGGACATAACAGGGTATACTTTTTCGCCCATGATACTAACTAATCTACCTTTTCATTTTCACCTATCATCCCTCACTGGTACTCCACCAGCGTTAACTGTTAATGAAGGCGGATTCTCATTCCACTTTCGCCCATAAAAAAAAAAAAAACAGATGAATTTTATATAGTACTTGCCTCTGAAAGATTAGAGCCGCTAACAGTAATAGGGTAATTCCTTCCTCACTCAAAAGTTCTTTGGCATACTAGCGTAAGGAGACCAATTAATATTTAAAAAAAAAAAAACACATTCCACTTAGACTCGCAACCATTATTAACATTTGAAAAACATAAATAGAAAATATTTTTTCCGTTCTTCAACCAAATATATTGTGTATATTTACGTACCCATTTACATGTATATTTCAGAGCTCTTGAATATGACGACATAGCTGTTGAGATAAAAAGGCGTGAAAATCTTGCACGAAAAGGCAAAGAGTTGCCTTACGACAATTACCAAGAAATAGAAGAGGTAAGTGTAAATAAAACAATTTCGGGTACTTCTAAATGAAATATATTAATAAATAAAACAGATATAAAAATGCATTTATTATCATTATTCGTTTTAAAATCCTTGTTAATATTATGAGTGTTCAAATCTTTAGTTATCTCTTCGCCGGTTTAAAGGTTCAAGCAAACGCCATGAAAAGATATTTGGGATGAAGAAGGACAAAGGCGAATTTTTATCCCCATAATTATACCATATTAATTTTATATTCGAAAAGTTACAAATTTAATGTTTCTACGTACTGTAGTGTATTTTGTATTAATTTATATAATAATAATAATCTCCTTAAATGGGGAGTTAAATTTTGTTAAAGTTCAAAATAATCATTAATCATTTATTTCAGGCACTGACTGATCCATATAAAATGTTATCACATAAAAAAACAAACACAATATCACTTACGATTACGGTTAAAATTAACTGTAACCCAATATTTTAATATTGGGCAGTCAAATGATTCCCGAATAGCTTCAAATAATAACTACCATTATTACTTGCTACTATTTATTTAATTCTCTGTTTGTGTTGTAACTTCTTGATGGAATTTCATTACATTGACTATGTAATATTCTTGGACTATATAGATAGAGTGTCAAGTCTCAAAAACGGGTCAACAATTTGTCAAATTAGCTGACTCGTTTTTTATAAGTATCCTATGTACTTACGCACATAATGTATCTTCACGTACCTATTTTTGATTATTTAATAAATGAAATGAGTTTTTAAGCATTAAAAAGATGGAAAAATTATCAAATAAAATAAAGATGGAAGTTATAAAGGAAGCACTCATGACTATTTATCACGCAAAATTGAATGGAAAATTTGAGCTGCTTTCCTCGAAGTATTTGTCTGTGTATCTTTCTATATAATCTGAGGTAATATTATTCAAAATATCTGTATTTAGTCCCACTGTTTTTACACAAATATTTCTATAAGTTATACAAGCGAAAGGTTTTGGAGCAATTTTTATTATCCGAAAATATATAGCACAAGAGTCTCAGGAACCGGCATGCCTGCTTAAGGTGACTTATGAAAACCCAGGAAGCAAGACATGTATGTAAGGGCTAAAGGTTTTTGGCACTGGGTTCTCTCTGTCTTCCTCACATGGGACTTGGCATTTAGACAGATATATGTATACAATTGTTTTAGATTGCGGCTTACCTCACTGATATTGCTGAACGATATCCAGACAGAACTACTTTAGTCTCTGGTGCCGATTCCTTCGAAGGTCGACCGGTTTATTATCTAAAAATCTCTACTACTAACTTCGAAGATACCAGAAAGCCGGTGATCTTTATTGATGGTGGCATTCACGCAAGAGAATGGATTTCTCCGCCTACAGTCACTTGGGCCATACACAAGCTTCTAGAAAATGTGACGGAACCCGACCTTCTGGAACGTTTCGACTGGATCCTGTTACCTGTAGTTAATCCAGATGGATATAAATACACTTTTACAAATGTGAGTAATCTTATTGATATTATATGAAAGATAGGTGGATGGATGAATGTTTCATACTCTTTCTTACAAAAAAATACCTAAATATACTTAAAAGGTTATATCTAATGAGTATGTGGATCAGTACATGAGTGAGGCCGCGTGATCCAGATATATAGAAATTGTTTAAATTCAATATAGACTTCATTCGATATGAACAATAACATTGGGACTTTAAATATATTTTTGCCAAGTAGATTTCTGTTGGCAGCAGATATAATTAAGAGAATCAGTTGTGAATTTTGTAATTACGTAACATCTATAAGATTATGGGGGAACAGATCTTAGTAATGCGGACTACCAGTCCCATTGTTAGAAGTATACTTTCTTAGGTCGACGCGTCAGGTCCGCCTGGTCCTTTCTGGAAACCGTCATACTGTATCCCAGAGGTATTCTTCACGATGGGCTAATTTACCTGTCTTTTTCATTCTCATTTCTCACTGGTGCCTCGTCAGTTTATACTGTTAGTGCAGATGGGCTTGCCATTTCATTATCATCTATTAAAAAAATCTATAAAATTTGAGAATTTAGTTGTTTTGGATGTTGATTAAAAACACTCATCAGCTCTTTTATTTCAGGAGCGCATGTGGCGCAAAACACGTTCCACTGACCAAACCAATACAAGCATAACATGCCCAGGAGTCGACGGCAACCGCAATTATGATTTCTTCTGGAATACAGTTGGAACTAGCAGTAATCCGTGTTCTATCACTTACGCGGGCAGCAGACCTTTCTCTGAAGTTGAGACGAGGGTAGTTCGTAGTATTCTTCACGAGCATCTTGACAGAATAGCGTTATACCTAACCATGCATAGTTTTGGAAGCCTAATTCTCTACCCTTGGGGCAATGATGGCAGTCTATCTCACAATGCCTTGAACCTCCATCTGGTAGGTGTTGCTATAGCTGATGAGATTTTGGCTCATACGTTACCTATCTTCCCTAGATATGTGGTAGGTAATGCTGCATTAGCTATTGGGTATGCAGCATCTGGAGCAGCTGAAGATTATGCTCATTCTATTGGCGTTCCTCTATCGTATACCATTGAGCTACCGAGTCTTGGTCAGGGGTTCATTCTAGATCCAAGATACATTGAGCAGGTTTGCCGTGAGACTTGGCAAGGGATTGTCGTGGGTGCAAGGATGGCTGGAGATTTATTTGTCTTATAATTACAAGGGTATTTTTTGCATTATTATAATTTGTAAAAATATATGTTGTTTTATTATACACCTATTTATTATTTCATTCAAAAATTGACAATTCTATTACCTCTTTCAAGAAAAAGTTGGAATTACATTTTCTAGTTAGTTGTTACACTTTAGTTGCCCGCTAACGACACGCTTTCCAACTGTATTGGGTTGACTGGAAGAGATCTCTGTCAGAGATAAGTTTACCCTTGCTCGCAATATTTATAAATACATTAACAATATAATTTTCAAGTGCAATATTCTTTATTGCATAAAAATTATAAGAGAAAAAGATTCTGTAGAGAAAACAATGGATGACTTCATCGCTATGCTTTCTTCCAAAGAACTTTTAAACGCAGAGAACTAATTATAAACTGTTTGGTAACCGCTGCAATAATTTATTCAGTTGTTACTTGTTGCCTAAATTGATTTTAAGATGGAATATTTTGATGATTTTTTTAAAATACGGTAGGTTTTGGGTGCTAATAGTCTAACAACGCTTGACTGTGATGCTAAGACTCAAACAGATTTGTAGTCAAATGTAATGATTTTTTTTGTATCAGCCGTTAATTGTTTAGCAGTGCTAAATATAGCCTCTCCCATAAGGAGGAGTTTTGCCAGTAGTTGCCACGCTTGGCAGGCGGGTTGGCAACCGCAGTTAGATTTTGGTGATGTTTTAAGTGGAATGCTGCTGCTTTTCCCTCGACCATTAAGTCGCCTCTTACGACACCCACGGGAAAAAAAGAAAAGGGTAGACATTTTATGCTGGGACCAAATTGACAATAGAGACAATATTATCCATCGAAGAATATAACTATATGATTCATTAAAGGCCATCGAAGGTTGCCTGCATTATGTCGACCCACCAAATGTTTTTTATTTACGATATATTTGAAGGAAAATTCAAATTTGGTGTCTATGTTACACCCTATCCTCAATACTTCTAAACTGATTTAAATAATCTATGTTAATACAATAAAGCGGAAAAGTTTGTATGTTTGTATGAACATTGCTAACCTCTAAAACTACCAGTAGATATTGAAAAACTTCTTTCAAATGTTCCTGTATTCGTTTGTTTAATTGAGGAAGGTAAAAGACTATGCAACATTACAAATAATATTTGTGCTTCTGAAACCGAAGTTTCTTTAGAAAAATATTTTGTTTCTGAAAGTCTCTCTCACCAGAGGGAGACTTTGTACAAAAGTCGATTGCTTGGGTACCTCTGTCCCATTCGTGTTTCTACGGCTGTGTTTCGGTTTGAATGGTGGGATATGGCGTGAATTTACACGGTACAGAGGAATAACATCCGAGTCCTCAAGAATGGCAACGCATGGTGGGTATAATGGGCGAAACAGTATACTCTGTTATATCCATGGTACTGCTCATGTCTATAGGCGACCATCAGGTGGGCCGTCAGCTTGTTTGCCATTTTAAGTTGGATAAAAAAAAAATCTTTTAAAAATCAACGATTTTCATCCAGTACTGTTTTTAATCAGAGATAATGATGTAGCATCGTACTGCATATGTATTTTAAAGATAATTACGATTAGCGATCGCAACGACATCCGTAACGTATCTACTGCGTAATCCTAATAATGTATATAAGTATATTTTTAAATGTATGTTTGTGCATTATTTCAGAACGGAGACACCTATTTGATTTGTTATTTTTGAACTTATGTTCCTAATTGTCAGGATGAGGTATATATAAAAAAAAAAAAATAAAAAATCGTAAGGAAAAGTTAAAAAAAATCCATGTAAAACGTGAGCATGTGTGATACAAAACCAGTGGGTGATCTTTAAAAATTTTGACAGATTTGACAGACGGTCGTGCTGTAAAAGAAACAGTTTGTTGTATTTTTTTTAATAGGTCATACGTGTGAAGACAAAGCGGGGTAGTATTATTTAAAAATTGTGAAAAACTTTATCAATCATGTTTGAGTTGTGAAATAAATGAAATTAAATACATACATATTTTGTTACTAGCTGTATCACGTGGCTTCACTCACATAAATTAGTACATAAAATATCATATGTGCTAAGTTAGGATATAACCTACCAAATTTCATTCAAATCCGTTTAGTAGTTTTTGCGTGAAAGAGTAACAAACATCCGTCGAGGGGAGAAGGGATTGTTAAAAATAGGGATAGTAGCCCCATTGCTCGTAATAAACCCTGTCAGGTCGACTTCCTCACGGTTTCTCCTCGACACCATCGTGATGGGCTAACTGTCATTCCTTTTCATGCCCATCTGTCATCTTTCGCTGGTGCCCCGCCAGCGTATTCCATTAGCTTAGCCGGGGTTACCATTCCATTATCATCCGTTTAAAGCAAACATCCATCCATTCGTCGTTACAAACTTTCGCAATTGTAATATTAATATAATTATTAGCGACTTCCAGAAAGAGATAACTCAGTATTCCTTATCAACAAAGATATCAGCTTTTACCCGCGACTTCGTTCACGTGACCGGAATAAGTTTACTGACCGAATTAAAACAGCGTATGTGCTTTTCATTTCTAAATTTCAAGACGATCGGTTGAACTGTTATTGTTTACTTGATCTCAGTCAATAATAAACTTACCTTTCACCATCGTACCACTCGTCATCGTCAGGGAATCCATCCTTACACCACAGAACCAGAATGAACACGCATAGTGCGGTTTCACAGGAACTTCCTCCCGCGGAAACTTAGGTTGTAGAATAATTTTCCTGCCGAGATTTTCCCTAGAGACCACAGCATGGAGTTTTTCAAAAAGGACGTATTAAGGTTTCTTAAGATTTAGCAATACCTGCGAGATATCCCTAGTGTTACTAGCGACCATAGGCTGCAGTGACCGTTTACCATCAGACTGATCGTATGCGTATTTGCCACCATAGTAGTATAAAAAATAGCAATCAAGCAAACAAATTTGCATGCAGAAGATAGTATTTTAATACGTAAACAAATACACGATAAAAAAACTAGTAAAATATGTAGACAGAGATTAGGTTAATCTGAATTAATTGATCATGACTTATCAAGTTAATTAATAAATGTTAGGTAAGAACTGTCTACTTTGTTAGATAATAAAGATTACAAGGGAACCTATTGCATTACTTGAGTCACATTTCACAATAGAGTCCACGAGGATACTAGGGTACAATGTATAAGACAATATTTCTTATTTGTTTGTCATTTTATGTGGTGTTCGCCAAACACGAGCAATATGAAGGGTATGTATTTCTAAATATTTTCTTTTATATTTTGCCTTATTATATATATAGGGGATGAACGAGCATGTGGCTCACCTGATGGTAAGTGAATACTGCTCCATGGACGTCTATCAGATCAACAGATATCAGAGCAACATCAGAGAAATTGCAAATGTGTCGACGGTCTTTTAGGCAGGTACATATTTTTTCTAAGATTTCAATATCTTGTTAGTTCGAAAATAATGCTGCTGGGTATTGATTCCTTAGAATAAAATAATAAATTAGGCCAACATTTTTTTTTTTGTTTTGGATTGTACCCTCAGGTATTTGTTGCCTGATTTCTCATTGTACATTCTGTGATATGAGGAACCAGGCAATATTTTAGGTCGAGGATCATGCAATTTTTTCTCAATGAATGAAGACGGAATGGTAGTCCCGTCTGTCATATCGTCATACTCGTAGAATACTGACGGATCTGACAAAGGTTACATATAAAGATCCGTCGGTATTCTACGATTATGACGATATATGATATTCTGGTTGATGTTGTCTGCTCCACCAATTTTAGTTAGAAGTGGTAGGTGTGAATGAAAGCAGGTTAATTGGCTCATAAAGACAAATTAATCAAGAGTTAATGCCAATCCGCTTGCCAAGTGTGGCAACTACTGGCAAAATCCCCTTTATCGGTGAGGCCTATGTTCAGCAGTGGACAGTTAACGACTGATATGATGATGATAATAATTGCTAGAATTATACCCTATCAAATTCTATATATAATAAATAATTGTATGTAAAATTTAATATAAATGGGTTAAATTTGATATAAGCGGGATAAATTTGATATAAATGGGGGGTAAATTTGATACAAATTGAATAAATTTGATACAAATGGAGTAAATTTGATATAAATGGGGGTAAATTTGATATAAATGGAATAAATTTGATACCAATGGGGTAAATTTGATATAAATGGGGTAGATTCAGTATAAATGGGGTAAATAATGACTAACAATGTCTCTCCCGGAAATTAAGCGATTGATAAGATTGTTTTGTATTTGCTTATTTATTATTATTTATGATTATTCTAGATAGTCATTATCATCACAATGAATATAGATCTCCTTCTTATTTCACCATAAAATACGGATTAGTCAAGTAGAAACGTGTTTTATTCAATAATATAGATACTCTTTAGTAACTGATCTTTCATTGTTATAACAATGAAAACTTCTTACAGACTTTTCTTTTTTCACATGATAAATATTAAGAATTTATTATAAAGAAAAAAGTGTTTAAAACAGTTGAACAATTGAAATAGATTTATTAGATGTTTAAAGATTTTTATGAATAAAAACTCGTATAAAACTGAAGGATTTTCCATTGAAATGATTAAAATTACTCAGTCGGGTGAAATATCAACTTATTGCCAATTGCCAAAGAATACTAAGAGCGACCATACTTTAACTTACTGAATTGTATTTTCCAATTTCTGATTGATTTATTTCAGTTATTTTTATATTTTAGTTATTCTGCTAGCGAGCCACAATGTCAAGAAATAAAATACGTCGCATAATATAAATCTACCATTAAGAACTTGGCACCTGCTTCATATTTTTCTTCGGAATTTTTCAAATACACTCTTAGTATCTAGTACTATACGTTCAATGCAGCCTTTATAAGAATACTAGCTTTTACTCACGGCTTTGCCAACGTTAATATTGATTTTGTTCAACAATTCTAATTAATACTTTGATTAGAAATTATAAACAATATTTCTGCAGAGTATGAAGCAAACCGACGACGTTATAAAAACTTTCATACAAAAAATACCCTTCCCTAACCTAACCTATAAGTTTTTCTCAAGAAAAAGTAGGCTATAACCATTTATAGGGTCACATCTGTCTTTATAGCAAATTTCATTATAATCGATGCAGAGGTTTAAGCGTGAAAGTGTGACAAACAAACAAACTTCCTTTCGCATTTAAAATATTAGATAAGATTATTGCATAATTAAAGTTTTAGAACGTTATCAGAAAACTTTTGAATAATCAGCAGAAAGAGTGTAAATTATTAAACTGTTTTTCATAATTGACAGATAAATGTAACGTTGTCACAATTTGGCAAACTAAAGATTTGAATACTCTTCGAAAGTCTTCAACATTTTTTTTTATACAACTTAGAATGGCAAACAAGCTGACGGTCCACCTGATGGTAAGTGTATCTTCATACTATCTTAAGAGAAGACATAAAGTTTACAAAATTTCTGCATTTCTCGCACGTTTCATATCCGAAACATATATGAGCGAACAGTATACTCTGTTATGTCCATGGTACTGCTCATGTCTATAGATGACGGTTACTACTTTCCATCAGGTGAGCCGTCAGCTTCTTTGCCATTCTAAGTTGTATAAAAAAATATAAAAAAATCCAATTAAGACAAAAATGTTAAAATGACTACTTATAAAAGAAATTTTACGAAAAGAAGTTTACTCGACATGAGACGAACGCTAGCGAAGGTACATAAGTCCCATATCGACTTCTTACGAAATTTAAGTAGGTTTTTTTTAATTTGCAGTCGTCTTTAAAAAGTTTTGAGGTTGGTAATAATAATAATATAACAACTGAAATGCGATCCCCTATTATATGAAGCGATGACCAAAAATACATTACAGGGAGTCAATGGATGCAGGTGGCTCGGGGCCGTTTCTTATGGCAGTCTATGGGGAGACCTATGTTAAATGACGGACAGTACGCGCCTGATAATCAACAAAACAATGGGGCAAAGAATATCCAAATAAAACCAGAACATTATTGTGGTATACCTCGTAGCCTAAAGCTCAGACATCTCAAACTTGATAGCTTAGAAGCAGCAAATAATAGCTGGCTCTTGTTGCCAGAATTAAATCAGTCAAAAGTCTGATTCTTGATAAAACTTCTTAAGTTTTCAGAAAATTACTGTAAGAAATTAATTATCTTGAGTAAAAATAATGTGTGTATATTAATACAGTCTCCAGTTTGCAGATTTTGTCACAGTGAGGAAGAAACGCCGCAGCACTTGAAGTGTGGCTGTAGCCCACTCATACATAAACGATATATCTCATTTGAAAGATACACTCTATATCCTGAGGAGATAAAGAAATCGTTACAAAATACATCTTAGGATTCCTATCATTAATAGAAATTAGCAGCGAACTTTAAAAAAGAACATGCACAAAAGATTATGGAAAAATCGCAACGTCACTAGTTTTTCTGCCTGTAAAAGTACATCTTTCTATAATAATAATATAACGTTTGATATGTTGATGACGATTATAGTGATAGAAAACAAAATAATTGTATTTCTCTCATTTTATATTGTTATTACAGTTATGCAGTGTACGATGTAACAGTTACAACTAGGGAGCAAGGACTATTCGTGAACCAGCTAGAAGAACAGCTTCAAATCGACATCCTGTCTTACGTCGGACCCGATAGAACTGGACAAGTTCTTGTCCCAAAAGATCGGCGGGAGCAATTTCAAAATGAACTATTAAATTCTGGGATTGAGTTCAATATTGTAACTGAAAATGTTGTTGAGTAAGTAAATAACCTCGTCTATATTTCGTGTAAATATTCCTTAATAAATTATAAATAGCTTTTCGCTCACTACTTTCGAAACGTGGCATCCAGAAGTAGTTTAACCAATGATATAAAATATACTATTTCTAGATAGCGTATTATTATATATATATATACCAGATTTTAAGTTAGAACTTCGAAAACAACTGTAAAAATCACATTTAATTTAATATAGTAGATTTTGCGTCATACTAGAACAAGCACAAAAACAGACACATTTTCTAAAAAATATTGTTTGTGTTAAGAAAAGATTAATGTGCATTTATAAGACATTTTACAATAAAATGGCATAATTGTTGGTTACAGACAACTACGTCTTGAAGATGAAATGCTGGCCGCTGCATCGAAAAAAAGTAACAAATCTAGTAGGATTGGTCTCTCTTTCGACACAATTCACAGATATGAAGTTGTGAGTATATAATTTGACGACCTCTGTAGAAATTTAGGATATTTTTAAATAACTTAGATTATAAAGAACCTATCTAACTGTGTAGTTCCACGATAGAATAGGCCACTCCTTCCTTTCGTAAGAGGCAACTAAGAAAGGGTGAGGGATGGGCAGCAGCATTCCTCTTAAAACGTCTCCAAAGCATGACTGTAGTCATCAATTCCAACCATGGCAACTAATGGCAAACCCCCAAGGAGTAGGCTTATGTTCAGCAGTGGATAGTTAAAGGCTGACATAATGATAATGGTGATAATGATAAAGATCTGCAAAATTTCAAGATTCTGGATCCGTAACAACGCACGCTTTCGGCTGTGCGTTGTTACGGATCAGTCAGTAAATCAACATCCTCTTTTACATATATAGATTGCTACCGATATATATTATAAGCAATCTATATTAGATATAACTACTGCAATAGTTCTAAATTCATCTATCTATCTATTTAAGAGCTGCGCTCTTGTCGGTGGAGCTCTAAATTCATATCAATTATAAAATGGTACAACATTTTTAGGTTGACCAATATCTAGTGGATTTAGCCAACGAGTATCCTGATATTGTCACCGTTGTATCTGGTGGAAGAAGTTTTGAAGGCAGGGATATTAAATACTTGAGAATCTCCACAACCAACTTCCAGGTTTGTATTTAATTTGAATGTATCTATTTGGGTGATTTTCAGCAAGTGCAATCTCTTTTAGTAATTTTTTCAGTGGACTTTCAACTGTGCTTTCAAGTTTGAGTCTTCAGAAAAGCCAATATTCCAGAAATATTGAAGGAATCATTTTATGAAATACTTTTTGGGGATACCCACTTTTTTAAAGACTTGAATTGCATTTACTGAAAATCACCCATATTGTCTACATCTCAGATGGTTACCGCGTAAACAGAAAGAAATGCATGCAAGCATCATCTGTCTTTACGTTTCATAATCTAGTATTGTCACCTTTTCTTGAAACTGTCAACTTATTTAATTTATAACTTTTGTTTGTTTTGACCTTTATTATAATTTTTTTTTATATTTAAAGCAAATAATATTTGATTTCGATTTCTTGGATATCCCATACTAGAATAATAACGTGATAATATAGATTTGTAAAATGACATAATAACATATAACTATGTTTCAAAAATTTTAATACTAAGAATGAGGGTAGCAAATTAAAAAATTTGTATGCCCAATAAAGTATTTTCACAATTACCTTATAATTATCGCACAATTTGATGGTAATGAGTTGGTTTGAATCTCTAAAATAAATTTAAACATTACTTCTAGTTCTTAGTTAATTTATAAATTACATTTCTAGGATAGAACTAAGCCCATCGTGTACATGCAGTCACTTCTACACGCTCGTGAATGGGTTACCCTGCCTGCAACATTATATGCCATTGAAAAGCTAGTCATCGATGTAATTGAGCAGGATCTGCTGCAGGATATTGACTGGATCATAGTGCCTATTGCCAACCCTGATGGATATGAGTACACGCACACCAGTGTAAGTCCAATGAGAGAGAGAGAGAATATGCTTAATTTGCGTCACATATTTTACATATGGATAATAATAATAGTATCGTATGGGACATTTGACTTGACTTGAGGTGATGAGTAGCCTTATGTCACCAATTCTTTTAAAATCCTAAGTATTGGTGTTTTAGATTTGTAACAATCATATTAGGGTTGGGACATAAAATAAGAAGAAAACAAAAGAGATAGTAGTTGAATAATATAAGTATAATATTAAAAATAGAGTAAATAGCAGATTATCCGATAAAAATTTATTTAATAATTGTTCTGATATGTTTATATCATTTTGAAAGAATTAATCTAGTTTTCGGCTGCGTATCAGAAGACATAAAATTGATTCATTTAACGATAGTACATCTAATATATATTACCTACTCATTTAATTTTAACTTGTTTAAGAATGTTTATTTATCTAATGCTCACATTGAAGTATTCCAAAGGCCATTTTAAAGCAACTATCTTTTAATATATTTTATATAAGTGGTTGAGTAGTATACCACGATTTATCCTAGTCATGTTAACGATCCAAGTCTGTGTTCTTCTTCTTCCTTTGCCTCGCCTTTTCCGATTCGAGGTCAGCTATTTCTATTACATGCATCTTTATCCAATCCAAATTCATGTCTTTCACATCTTTCTCCACGTACAAAAATAACAATAAAAGGAAATATTTATGTACGTTTGTTTTTCAGTCCCGATTCTGGAGGAAGAACCGTGCCACCGGTTATTCAGCTGGAAACGCCTGCATCGGTGTTGACTTGAACCGTAACTTCAATATCCTCTGGGGAACAGCCTCTAGCAGCAACGTTTGCTCCGAAACATTCCACGGCAGAGGTCCATCTTCAGAGCCAGAAACGACTGTACTTCAAAACATTGTTGGTCAGGACGCATCTCGTGTGGAGCTCTTCCTCGACATCCACAGTTTTGGAAGTTTGATTTTGTACGGTTGGGGAACAGGAACACTACCACCAAATGCTCTAGTCATCAATTATGTTGGAGTTATTATGGCTCAAGCCATTGACAATGTTAAATGGGCATCCAATGCTGATTATACCGTAGGTAATACCTACTACGTATTGTACGCTGCATCTGGTAGCGCCAGTGATTATGGTTTGGGTATTGGTGCACCTTTATCCTACACTTATGAACTGCCAGGATACAGAGGTAGCAGTGGCTTGAACGGTTTCCTTGTTGACCCTGATTTCATTGAACAGGCTGGATTTGAAACTTGGGAAGGTATTAAAGTGGGAGCTAGATACGCGAGAGACAATTTTAGGAGGAGACATGGTTATTGATTTATATTTATAAATGTATGTCTTTTTAATTTGTATATGACTTTAATTGCAAAATGTAATTCAATGCAATAATTTCATTTTTATTGATTGTTAGATGATATTTTGTCACACCGAATTGAGACTTGTATAGATTTGCTTTTATTATTTGTTCCATTTTAATTCTATTTGCGAGTAAAAATTTGTATATTTTGTTTTGTTTCATTCGTGTAATATTGTAGTGTCTTAAAGTTATTACATTTTTTTATTAAAGCTGTCATTCATATTTTATTTATTTATTCATTAGTACAAATATGTGTATATGGCGGACTTAATGCTAAAAGCATTCCCTCTCAGTCAACCATAGGGAAGTGTCAGAATACTCGAATGCGGTACTAGTAATTACATACATACATAAATACTAAAATTACATATATAAACGAATAAATATATATAAATAACAAATATACTTGCACATATATCATATATATTATTTTATACACGAAACTGAGAATACTATAAAACACTTACTGCTCGGATTAAAGTGAGCGTGAACGTTTTTTTTTTTGAAAGACGGTTTAGTCGTTAATCTTTTAGTGGCATCAGGAAGCGCGTTTCAGAGCCGCGAAGAATGTAGGAGAAAAGAGTTTGAAGCGAAACCAGTAACCCTTTAGTTATTATTTGTTACAGAATAGTTTTTGTTTGTTTGTTTGTTAACTGTGGATTACGGAATAAGCATTTCTTCCTTAAGCAGCTGTATAGTAAACTATATCAGAGTTCAAGTTCTTCCCTTTTAAATCACAGATATATATAATATATCTGTGATTTAAAAGGGAATTTATATAATCACAGATATAGATAATCACAGGTAACACCGTATATTTTTTTTATGGAATTTAGAATGGCAAACAAACTGATAGCCCAATTGATGGAAAGTGGTACCCGTCAATTATAGACATGATCAGTACCATGGACATAACTGAATTATACTGCATCGCCTATGATGCATGCTCATGTATTGCTATTCCTGAGGAATAAAATTTTAACTCAGTATTCTGTAATTTCACTGCTATATTCCACTCCTCAAACTGAAACAGCCATGCAAACAACCACTTCACGTTATCACATCACCCGTTAATTGTTGCCCAGTATTGAACAATGACTTCTCATTTATATTTATACTAATATTATAAAGAGGTAAACTTTGTGAGTTTTGATGTTCGGTGTAATCTCCGTTACTATTGTTCCGGTTTTGAAAATTTTTTTATTTTTATTTTTATACGACTTAGAATGATAAACAAGCTGACGGCCCACCTGATGGAAAGTGGTAACCGTCGCCTATAGACATGAGCAGTACCATGGACATAACAGAGTATACTGTTTCGCCCATGATACCCCTCATGGGCTGCCATTCCTGAGGACTCTGGTGTTATTCCTCTGTACCCTATAAATTCACGCCGTATCCCACCCTTCAAACCGAAACACAACCATGCAAACACAACTGCTTCACGGTAGAAACACGCATGGGATAGAGGTACCCAAGCATTCGACTTTTGTACAAAGTCTCCCTCTGGTAATTCTTTCACTGTGAGAAAAATATATTATCTCTGACTGCTGTAGCCTACTTTCTATTTTGGTAATTATATATTTTCAATAATTAATCGTAATAAATGTAATCGAAGTCGGCAAACAATCTATAATATAGTGTGCATTACCTGAACGGTTTAATATCAAAAAGATTCTTTTTATGTTGAAAGTAAAATAAATGTTACAAGCCATTCTTTTTACAATCTTAAAGAATATTGGTGTAGTATTTTCAGACACGCCAAAATACCAGCCTTATTAAAATGTGTTGAACAGTTTAAAAGTTTCACAAGCAAATATTGCACCCGTGCGAAGCCGGGGCAGATCGCTAGTAAATATATATATATATATAGACCTTACTATGAGCATACTTGTTGAAAGTATAAAACTAAGGGGCAAGTCTAGACTTGCGTTTTGGCCTGTAATTTGGCCTAGCGATAAGACCGCCTTTTGTACCTTTATATGCATATTTTAGTATGTACTCCATGCTGCTGTATTTCAGTTAAATTGTTTGTTTTTATGTTTTTGGTGCAACAAATAGTTAAATAAATATTTTTTTTATATGACTTAGAATAGAAAACAAGCTGACGGCCCACGTGATAGAAAGTGATAACCGTCGCCTATAGACACGAGCAGTACCATAGACATAACAGAGTATACTGTTTCGCCCATGATACCCCTCATGGGTTGCCATTCCTGAGGACTTTGGTGTTATTCCTCTGTACCCTGTAAATTCACGCCATATCCCAACCCTTTAATCCGAAACACAGCCATGCGAACACAACTACTTCACGGTAGAAACACGAATGGGACAGAGGTACCCAAGCAATCGACTTTTGTACAAAATCTCCCTCTGGTAATTTAACGTCACGAATTCTAGGAGCATTTTTGTATATCTATTAATATAATGTACATTTTCGTGAAAATAATATCATCAACGTTCCCTTCTAATATCTTTAATCCATACAGACTGAACCTAGATAGGCTCTATTACAACTAATAGGCTATTTAGTTGTTCATTATTAAAGTATATTCAGACGAACGTCCAATTAACTTAGCACGAGCAAAAAGCCCGTAATGATACGATGTCGCTAAATCCTGAATGAAAAAGTTATACTGTTGAACAGGACTTGTTTTACAGTTTCTTTTGGAATACATTTTAATCGTAGGTAATTAAAAATTGCATTTTGTACGACACTTCATACGTGCAGACTTTCCGTAAGAAAACCAATGAAGTTGGCCACTGCTAAATGGTATATTGGGGGGGAAAGGGATTGTTAGTAATGAAAACTGAGAATCCCATTGCTAGCAATATACCCAACCAGGTCGACCTCCCCGCGGTTCTCCCTGGAAACTATCATGGTTAATTCCTGATGAATTCATCATGATGGGCTAACTGGCCTGTTTTCATTCTCATCTATCACCCTTCACAGGTGCTCCGCCAGCGTATCCCGTTAGCGCAGGTGGGGTTACCATATAATTTTCACCCATCAAAAAAAATGGTATATTAAAATAAAACAAATACCAAATTTTAATTTTAGGAATACAACTGTAAAGTGCATACAAACAGACAGAATGATGGAGAGATTGAAAAAAAAATTGTTTTAGTTCTTATTGCTCTTATTATTTTTTAATATTTCACATCTATTTACTTTTTCTTTTTTTATATAACTTAGAATGGCAAACAAGCTGACGGCCCACCTGATGGAAAGTGGTAACCGTCGCCTATAGACATGAGCAGTACCATGGACATAACAGAGTATACTGTTTCGCCCATGATACCCCCCATGCGTTGCCATTCCTGAGGACTCAGGTGTTATTCCTCCGTACCCAGTAAATTCACGCCATATCCCACCCTTCAAACCGAAACACAGCTATGCAAACACAACTGCTTTACGGTTGAAACACGAATGAGACAGAGGTACCCAAGCAATCGACTTTTGTACAAAGTCTCCCTCTAGTTTTTATTTACAATTTTATTATATAAGTAAGATTAAATAAGAAATCATTAAAAAATATCTACGAGTATATACTTGTTATTAGGGTTTTAAAAGAAAAACAATTTAAAAAATAAATAAAAAACCTCCGAGACTCAAGGAAATCATTATTATCATCAATCATTATCAATAATATTGATCCGAATGATGTTTAAATTAATAATTTACATTGATGAATTTCAAGTGGGGTCCATCAGTTACTTTGTTAAGTTGTACAGAAAAAAATATTCGATAAGAGCAATGTTGATATAAACACAGGATTATTTTCGCAGTTTGGACCCCGAATGGTTAACGTTAGGACCCGAGCAACGATTTAATAATTTGACTGAAGATGCCTTGTTTAGGCCAATCACATGTCGCGAAACGTGCGTGAACAAAATGGCAGTGGGCGATTGATAGCTAATATGAAAGGTTGTGGTAGATCAATCCTGGTAGTGATAGTGGTGTCAACCTTCGGCTGTTGGGGGGAAGGGATTGTTAGTAATGGGGTCTAATGAACCCATTGTTAGCAATACACTATCAGGTCGACCTCCACGTGGTTCCCCCTGGAAATCATCGTGAACAATTCTTGTTGAATTCGTCACAATGGGCTAACTGACCTGCTTCATCCTCATCTATCATCCTTCACTGGTGCCCCGCCAGTGTACACCGATAGTGCGGGCGGGGTTACCATTCCATTATCAACCATTAAAAAAAAACCTTCGGCTGTTGGCAGTCACACATATACTAATTGTTGGATAAAAAGAAGGGTAAATGACAAACCTGGTTCACTTAGTCCCCGCGTGTAGGTCTTTTGTACGCGTTCTCGTTCTCTCTTCTAAATATCTAACACTTTTGTTGATTTTGCTTAAGTACCACTGTATGTTGCGCGGAGATCGTGGCCGATTGAATAATTCGCAACTGGCGGAGATTTTTCGTGATTTTGGCGGAACTTGACCAGCTCGACGCGCAGTTGGATTATAGACTGATTTTGTCCATCTACCCTCCAATGTGATCCCAGATTTGATAGGGAATATGGATAGGTAAGGAGGGTAGAAGAATATTGTGTTCGGAAATGTTTAAAAATGTTTTTTTTTACAACGCAGGGGGCAAACGAGCATGCGGCTCACCTGATGGTGACTACCGCCGCCCATGATCACCCACAACACCAGCGACATTGCAGGTGTGCTGTCGGCCTTTTAAAAAGGAATATACTCTTTTCTTGAAGGTTATGTTGTCGTATCGGTTCGGAAATACTGCTGCTGGAAGTTGATTCCAAAGAATGATTGTGCGTGGAAGAAAGTGCCTTGAAAAACGCACGGTGGAAGACCGCCACTCGTCCAGAAGATTGGGATGAAACTTTAGAGTTATTTACTAGTTTACAAATGATGAGATTATATTTACCACTAATTAAACAAAATTATTCTAATTAAATAACCAGTGACTTCCGCAGGATATCATCTAGTTCAGTAAAATAAAAATAAAAGAACCGTATTTCATGATAAAGTATTTAGGGATCACAGTAAAGTCTGAGGGGAAAATAGACATCACTGTAAGAAAATCTAGCATTGTTTGCCCTGTTCAGGTAAGCAATAAGTAAAGAATTCGTTGGATGCCGTCGCGTGTCGGGTATCGGTGGGGTAAGGGGGTTCGGAGGGGTTCGTTCAGTGGAAAATATTGCCTCTAGCTAAGACGTGACACTGTCCGCTGGGTAGCAGTGGTGTTGTACTATCGATAGGTATTTGAAATATCGATTGGATATTATTGGAATTTGTGATTGTCGATTAATAGAGACTACAGCATGGGGTTCTTCAAAAGGGGGGTAAAGAGGTTTCTTCAGGGTCGGCAACGCACGCGTAATACCTCTGGTATTGCAGGTGTTCATAAGCTACGGTAACCACTTACCATCAGGTGGGTATGCTTGTTTGCCACCTCAGTGGTATAAAAAAAATAATAATAACGAAATAGGATTTTATTAAAATTATATCAGTCCCTAACTATCCACTGCTGAATATAGGTTTCCCCTGTAAGGGGGGTTTGCCATGCTTATCTTTTTTTTTTTAATGAATGACAATGTAACCCAATCTGTGCTATCGGTATACACTGGCAGAGCATCAGTGAGAGATGATATGTAAAGATGAAGTCAGTTAGCCCATCGTGACGAATTCAACAAGAATTATCCACGATGGTTTCCAGGGGGAACCACGTGGAGGTCGACTTGATATAGTATATATATATATTGCTAGCAATATATATTGCTAGCTGTTAAAATCCATTGCTAACAATCTCTTTCCCCCCGCCATGCTTATCAGGCTGGTTGGCATTCCGCCAATCCTTATACCATAAGTTTTCTAAGTTGTCTCTTACGACATCCACGGGAAAGGAAGAGGTGGTCTATTCTATGCCGGGACCATATGCCCAATAAGTATATATAGTTAAATATACTTTAAAATTTTATAAAAAGTAACAATATAATAAACTGTTCTCTCTCTGTCTCTGCGGATTTAATGCTAAAAGCATTCTCTCCCAGTCAACCTTAGGATTCTTATTTTCTAAAAATATAAAAACAAAATATATATATATATATATATATATATATATATATATATATATATATATATATATATATAGATAAAATGTTTTTAATTTATATATATATATAAATTAAAAACATTTTATCGATACCTGTCGCAACTCTATCCTTCGTGGAACATTCTAGAAATGCAGCGAGAACACGTTCAGAGAGTTCGAACGAATATGTCAAGCCTAAAGGAAACTACAAATTCTTATACATTATCCAATTGAGTTTGCAGTTAATATATTTAAACTGGAACGTTACTTTTGATAAGTTATATACGAATAGAAAATATAAAATGGTCCCTTTTTTTATAACATAGGGGCAAACGAGCATGCGGCTCACCTGATGGTAAGTGATTACCGCCGCCAATGATCACGCGCACCACCAGAGTCATTGCAGGTGTGCTGCCGGCCTTTTAAAAAAGGAATATGCTCTTTTCTTGAACGTTATGATGTCGTACTGGTTCGGAAATAGTAAACGTGAAGCAAATGTTATTTCATCTTTAAAAAATTAATATATAAAAAACAACTAAGCTTCTTGTTCGTTATTTCATTCCCGTGGATTTCAAAAGTAGATAAGTCAATGTAACAGATCATTCTAGATGGTGTATCAAAATTTTAGGTCTAATAATAGTTTAGTTTTCTAAGGCCCAACTTGACCTTCAGGAATACAACTGGGAAAGCTGCATCTAATTTGATGCTGTAGTTTGCGTTATGCTGAAACAAACAAACAGATAAACACAGATGTTGATGTGAATTTAAAAAAAAAAAATTGTTTTGGCATTACCCTTACCAAGACCACCCATATTATTTCTTCTTAAATATCTCTCACGTACAAACGTCGTTTAGTTGCAATTTTATTATATTTGTAAGATAAGACGATTGCAAATAATATAATGTACAATAATTATGTGACTCCAGCATCTGGAAGTACTCATACATTCAAATTTGCAACAAAAGATTTTCCTCCGGGCACGCTCCGTATTAAACGAAATTCCTCGCTTCTTTTACAATAAATAAATGAAACTTGATGATATTTAGTGTATAGGATTAAGATTTTTTTATTTTTTTTATATACAACTGAGAATGGCATACAAGCTGACGGCCCACCTGATGGAAAGTGGTAACCGTCGCCTATAGACATGAGCAGTACCATGGACATAACAGAGTATACTGTTTCGCCCATGATACCCCATGCGTTGCCATTCCCGAGGACTCAGGTGTTATTCCTCCGTACCCAGTAAATTCACGCTATATCCTATTCCTCCGTACCCAGTAAATTCACGCCATGTCCCACCCTTCAAACCGAAACACAGCCATGCAATTAATTAATGCATTATTAAGGTTTGGAGTTACAATTTTGTTAAATTTACAATATTTTTAAATTACAATTGTAAAATCATTAATTTAAAAAAAAAACATTACAAAGAGAAATCGATTGGGACTTGCGATTGGATTATGACATACGATAACGATTATCCAAAAAATGTGTATTTCATCTCAATATACAATTTAATATTTTTATATCATTAATTTCATGAAATTATGTATTCATAATGGGCTAAAAACATTTACGAGTATTAGTCAGCCATTTGAATAATTTGCTATTAAATCATTTTAAACAGAAATCAGTATTATTAGGTAGTTTGTTATATCAGAATCATCATTGAAATTACAAAATAATACACTCCTCTAATTGGAATCGAAATCGTTCAATAAATTGACACCGTTCCAAATGAGCTGAAAAAGTAAAGTTGCTTTCATAAAGAGCATTCAAGTTGCGAGTTTTATCTCGGTATATTAAATCTTGCGGCCGCTCTCGTTCTGAGGGTGTTTTAAAATTAGATTCCCCCTTTGCCGGGGGTGGACACTGATCAATTTTCGATTCGGAAGTGATTTGATTGAATCCCACAACATTATTGTCTTCAACTCAGATTTTGGTGCGAGAAAATTATACTGAGTGTTAACGCCTTTCATTTATTCGGTCGACTATTTTTTTATTTTTATTTTATTGCCACATAAAACAGATTACAACCATAAAGAACTTAAGGCTAGGTTATAATCCAATTACATGATGTGCACAGCTTGAGTAATTCATTAAAAGCAAACGCATAATATAAATAGAAATACTTAAAATGTTATATAAATATATAAAAGATAAAACTATATATATATATATAAAAAAATATTTTCAATCGTATTCTACAAAATAGAAAACAAGTTCCTCCAAAATATCAAATATTTTGTACCGAATATGTAATAATAATACTATACAATTTATAGTATACATATCAAGCTGTGATGCCTTCTACATGTTATTAGTATTGCACTGCACTGTACTGTATTGCATTATATTGTATTTATCATCATTATTATCATCATATCAGCTTTTAACTGTCCCCTGCTAAATATAACCCTCTTGGGGGATTTTGCCAGTAGTTGCCCCGTTTAGCAAGCGTATTGGCAATCGCAGTTAGGCTTTAGGGATGTTTTAAGATGTTGTTGCCCATCCCTCGTCCTCCCTTAGTCGCCTGTTATGATACCCACGGGAAAAGAAGGGCTGACCTATTCAATGCCGGGACAACACTATATTGTATAGTTTTGTCACTACATTTAGCAGATGTGGAGTTTGTGAAAGAACAATGATTTTGAACAATTTTTGGTCATTTCTGTTCGAAAGAGTATACACTTTTTAATAAAGTTATAGATGATAGAAGTACCCTGATTTTTCCTAATTTCTATATTGCTAATTATGTACCGTTCTGTGTGGTCTCGGTATAGAAAGGTCCACTCCTTCCTTTCCCATGGGTATCGTAAGAGGCAACTAAGGGAACCTAAATATGGAGGAATGAGCAGCAGCGTTCTCCATAAAACATCCAAAAGTATAATTGCGGTTGTTAATATGCTTGCTAAGCTTGGCAACTACTAACAAAACTCTCCTTATGGAGAAGGCTTACGTTCAGCAGTGGACAGATAACGGCTGATATAATATAATAATCGTGTATACTATACATTAAATAGATTAAAAAGATTTGTATGTAAGTCTACTTACAAGTAGGTATATATGTAATGGCGGAGTTATCCCATAAGAATCTTATATAGCTAATCTTTGATAATCCCTAAATATCCCTATAATATTTTAACTAAAATCTATCGTGTTCCTATAAATTATTTAAATTTTTCATACAATGTTAAAAACACATCATTAGAAAAATAATCGGACTTAAATTTACGGTTCTTTTCTCTACTATTTTACATAAAGATTACATTAAAAAGTTCAACTCATGAATTAGATTGGCAATATCAGTTAGGTTAGTGTCACCCAACAATTGTTAAGAAAACACTTCTTGGAGAAAATTCTTTTATTTTTCTAACACATTGTCAGCAGCAACTGAAACAGCTGTCCATACATCATCGACGATATATACAATATCTTCTGCTGGTATTTCAACACCGTTTTCTTTGTCTTGTATTATATCTATGTTGTATGCATAGTTGATTGCTTTGCTTCTAGCATAATCGCTACTCGTACCAGAAGCTGGATCGAGATTTATGGAAGCCACACCTAATTTATAATCACCATTCATTGAATTAACAATTTCAAGACCCAATAAGTGATGAGATCTGAATAAACCAGTAGCAGCTCTTTCATAATACCAAGGATAAGAAAGAAATCCTCCGTTATTCTGAAGTGATACGTAAAGACGAATTCTTGAGCCATATTCGTCTATTATAGACTGCAACATTTGGCTTTCTGGTTCTGAAAAAGATTCCAGTCCTCCATAGAGATGGCTGCATGCACTTGTACTGGTTCCAGATGTTCGCCATTCAATATCAAAATTTCTGTTTATATTCACACCAGGGCACATAAAGTCAAGAGCACCAAGATTCCTCGTAGTTCTATTTTTCATCCAGAACCTTAGCTAGAAGCAATTATATAAAATTAGTATCCTTAAGTGGATTGGATGATAGAGGCAAAACAAATGCAATAAATAATGCGGATAAACAGGTATATCTTTTATTTATGCCTTCTCAACCGTCTTATTAGGTCTCATTAAGTTAGCGTAATTTCCTTTACCATTCTCCCCTCCTCTAATGACAATTCAATTATCACATTTTAACAAACTTGAAAACATGTTCGCAAATGGTTTTTAAGTTCCATACAAAAGAAAGTGATTCTCATTCATTTATACATTTTTTGTGCAAATATATTACACGATTAATTTACCAATTCTGAACCGATTTTCATAAATCTTTTTGCAATCGATTGGGAATCTCCGGGAACTCCGGCATTTCTGAAGCAGTTATTTGTAAAAGTAAAAAATTGGTCGGTATGAATCAAAATCGTGATGGTTGAACAGTTACAGTATAAAAGAATTACAAGACATATTGTTATTTGTTCTTATGTGAGGGCATATGTATATTTACCAGAGGGAGACTTTGTATAAATGTCTCTTCCTTGAGCACCTCTGTCCCATTCGTGTTTTTACCGTGAAACAATTGTATTTGAATGGCTGTGTTTCGGTTTGAAGGGTGGAATATGGCAGTGAATTTACATGGTATAGAGGAATAACACCTGAGTCCTCAGGAATGGCAACACATGGGGGGTTTCTTGTGCGAAACAGTATACTTTGTCATGTCCATGGCGCCGCTGATATCTATAGGCGATGGTTACCATTTTTCATCAGGTGGGCCGTTAGCTTTTTTGCCATACTAAGTTACAAAAAAAAAATTACGACCGCATTCGATTTTTGTGGAGATATTATTTTGCACATGAAATAACCTTCGCCAATTAGGAAATTATTTCTATATCTATGTGTACAAAAACTGAACTGTCCCAAGTGAAATAAATGCATTAGATAAATAATTGTCTGTTAATATTTATAAATTTATAATATCTGTTAAGTAGCAAATATGATACTGGTATCATGAAATAAGAAAATATATAGATTCATTTTATAACATTGCACGTTCATGTAACTTGTAAATTTTAAGATTTTCTACACAGAACTTTGCATCTATATAGGTATCAATTCTGTTTTCGGCGGAGTCGAAACGACACATATTCGTAATATAGAACTTGGTTCACATTTCACATTTATATTTTTGATTCGATTATATATTTACTAAATTGTTTCTACTCACATTTGTATGCGTATATTCGTATCCATCGGGATTGACAACCGGTATTATTATCCATTCAAAATCATTCAAAAATCTTCGTTGATCACTCTCTAATAGTTTGCTTGCAATGTTTATAGCGGCAGGTACAGTTATCCATTCTCTTGGATTTATTGCAGCTTCTATGACTACTAGCGGTTTTGTATCTTCAGAATTATCATTTCTTGACTTTATTTTCAAATATACTAAAGGTCTATTTTGTTCTGTTGAACCATACTCTATGATTTCTAAAGAAACTTCAGTTGAATCAGCGTACGATTCTTTTAATGTATATAAATATTTCAGTATCTGAAAATAAATAAGATATACCTTATTAGTATTGTAAATTATTGTAGTTGTCTGCAACGTTAACTTTTCAACGATGGTACATCATGTGTAGGGTTTTTCACATCGAATGGTTTCAACTAAGAATTCGTTTTTTCAATCGATTTCTTCTGTAGGAACAAAGGATAAATTATTATATATAATAAATTTAAAATGTATTAATTTTATATCTATATAATTGACGCCTTTACACCGCAGAGGTAGGTACTTAAAATAATTTGTGCAAAATAAATTCCTGGTTGGATTTTGGTTAGACATCAAAAAGATAGAGTTTCTCAATTAGTTTGTATTTTTTATGTTTGTCACCTCATAATGTAGTCAGTTGTGAAACCGATTTGGAAAAAATATTTTTTTATCTAAAAGCATACATTTATAGATTGGTTCTATAGAAATTTATCAAAGTCGGTTTGATGGTTTAGTTTTACAGGTTGTAACTTTTGAATGGCGCGTTCTATCAGCTAATCTAAATATCTTTACCAAATAAATGACAAAAAATGCTAAACTCACTTTCACTTTCTCCCACGTACAACCATTCTTTGGAATCAACTTCCAGCAGCAATATTTCCGAACCGATACGACAACATAACCTTCAAGAAAAGAGTATATTCCTTTTTAAAAGGCTAGCAGCACACCTGCAATGCCGTAGGTGTTGTGGGTGACCATGGGCGGCGGTAGTCACTTACCATCAGGTAAGCCGCATGCTCGTTTGCCCCCTGTGTTGTAAAAAAAAAAAAACTAATATGGCATATATTAGTATTAAGGTTTAGCATTTTTTGTCATGTATTCTTGTTCAACCCTTAAGTTAGTATGAGAGACCCAAAATTTTTGTGTTTTTGATTCACAAAATTTCTGCCCCTAATATGTTATATATCATGGGCAAATTCCTAGTTCCATATACCGATAGCAACTTCTATTTCACCCTGTATATACATTACATGTTCTTTCATAACGCTAGTTGTCTAGCTGGTGGATCAAGCGATTAGATAACAGCATTCCGAAGCTTGTAAAGAAGTCTATTTTATTTTATTAGTATGATTACTTAAATAACACTTATTGGTATGTGTTTATAACTAGTATTTACTGTTGACTTTATTCGTGTAATCGAGATATATTGTTTGATAAACATAATATATACATATATACTGCATATATGATAAATTCTATCACGATTGATTGAGCGGTTGAGACTAAGTGATAACAAACAAACAAATTCCCTTTCAAATTTGGAGTATCAGTAAAGATTACCGCGAGTCTTAATATCAATTTGTTAGAACCTACTTATTGGTCCCAAAATTCATCATTGTCTCTTCATCTTATCTTAATTATAACTTTGGGTAGACATGTTTTTTTTTTCATTCGTCTCTATTCGCAGTTATTTTCGCATTCACTCCAATTTTAGTCATATTATCTTTAACACAGTCCATCCAAGTCTTTTTGGGTCTTCCTCTGTTCTTACAGTTATCCACATTCATACTTAATACTTTTCTTAATACCTTGCCATGGTACCCAAATTGTTGTATAGTATAGACTCGATTATTCGAACATCGATTATCCGAATATTCGATTATTCAGACTCATTCTTCATGACTTTAATTACACATTTAGAAATAGTAATATGTATTAGTTGGGTAAATAGGTATTATGTTAACCATTATCTTAACAGCTCGTAATTTTTTGATATCGTGTTGTCTAAATGACGTGTGTAAAATTTTTTACATAATAAAAAAATACATATTAAAATTAATTTTTTTTGTTTTGACTTCGAAATTCAATTCGAATTCCGGAATTCGATTATCCGGATTTTCGATTATATGGAATACCTGTGTTTTTATTTAGTTCCAGACTCTACTGTATATATTTTTTTATGAGTTGAATCGTCAATTTGTTATTCAATGTCTTAAAAAAAAACTATTTACCTCATCATAGCGATAATATCCTTCGAAATTAAACGTGCTTTCGCTATCCGATCTTAATCTTTTCGACAATGCTTTCTCCTTTTCAAATAAGTATCTGAAAATAATAAATATATTGTATAAATATAAATAACTAGCTAACTAAGCATTTAATTTATAAAAACTTTATATGTTAATCTAAATTATGATCTATAGGCGTCGGTTACCACTTTCCACCAGGTGGGCCGTTAGCTTGTTTGCCATTCGAAGTTGCATAAAAAAAATTATAATAAAATCTGTTCAATTTAAGTTTTATTAAATTTTTAATAATTTTTTGTTAATGTAATAATATCGTAACTGGAGGTTATAATAAGAACAAAAAATATAAAACAAGTTATTTCTGTAATTTGCTCTGTCTTTTTGTTTATTCTTGTATTATATTAATAAATTGAATGCTGTTATTACAGCTTTATTCTGAAAGATTTAGCTTGAAATGTGCTGTAAGTTTATATACATATATAAACTTACATATATATATAAACAGAATGGAAATAGTATCTTGGTACGCCAAGTACATGTATTTTAGAGAAATGGTTGCTTACTCGTACTTCCAAAATTCACGCGTAAAAAGTTGCATGTAAAAGTTAGTCAAAAATATAACAGAAATAAATAATTTTAAGCATATTTGTATAGTTAATTTCTAGGATCCTTTATTTTAATATTAATATGAAAATATTTATTATTAATTATATATATATATATATATATATATATATATATATATATATATATATATATATATATATATATATATATATATTATTATTATTATTGCACTTATAAAAAAAGACCTTTGATAATATCCTAGACTATAAACTTATCGTAATTTATTTACAACAGATAACATGAATATTGTTATGTATTTACATGATATTATTAACACAATTTCAAATATACACCTATACTGAATTCAGAAGAAAAATCTATTAATATGTTATTAGGTTTATGTAATTAGTTATTCATTTTGTTTGTGTACATATTGTTAACCTTTATAGTCTGTATTATTCTTTGAAGGGAACAATACAGGGGTTTTCAGTAATTCATTATATATGAAAATGTTTGTAAAGATGGATATATGTTTGTTACTTTCTCACGGAAAAACGACTGAATGGATTTGAATGAAATTTAGTACATGAGTAAGTTATATATTAACATAGTTTGTATGATACTTTATGTATTGATATATGCGAGCGTAGTCGCGGTATACAGCCAGTTCAAATATACATTCCATATGCCATTTGCAAAACTATTTTATTTTTTATATTACGTTACTTTCAGAATAATTACATAATAATTTGATAAATGGATGAAAGTAGCCTATATCTTTCTTCATCTCACACAGTCCGTATATACTAAATTTCATAGTAACTGGTTAGGTTGTTAAGGCACTATAAGGTTACAAACAAAAAACCCTCTTTCTTATTTATATATATAATATTAGTAAGCAATTATCAGTCCTAATAGATTCGGTTACTGTGGTCACGCCATATCATGACGATATAACATCACTAATCCTGATAACGATCATAATTACCGTTACAATGAGTTTATAATGTAAATTCAAATAAATAAAAACATTTATTATTACCTGTAAAATAATTTCTTTTACTTTTGCATTTATTATTATAATATTAGTAAGTAAATATCAGCCTTGATAGATTCGATTACTGTGGTCACGTCATAACTGTGACGATATTAAATATAACACTACTAATCCTGATAACGATCACAATCACCGTTACAATGAGTTTATAATGTAAATTTGAATAAATAAAAACATTTATTATTACTCGTAAAATACTTTCTTTCACTTTCGTAATTATATTTATAATATTAGTAAATAAACATCAGTCTTGATAGACTCGGTTACTGTGGTCACACCATAACTGTGACGATATTAAATATAACACTACTAATCCTGATAACGATCACAATCACCGTTACAATGAGTTTATAATGTAAATTTGAATAAATAAAAACATTTATTATTACTCGAAAAATACTTTCTTTCGCTTTCGTAATTATATTTATAATATTAGTAAGTAAACATCAGTCTTGATAGACTCGGTTACTGTGGTCACACCATAACTGTGACGATATTAAATATAACATCACTAATCCTGATAACGATCATAATCACCGTTACAATGAGTTTATAATGTAAATTCGAGTAAATAAAAACATTATTATTACTCGTGTAATAAGTCTAATTTGTAAATGTAAGTAAAAAATACTGAACTGAAAAAAATAAATGAACTTCATTAATTTATTTAAATAATATTTTTGTTGCTAGTAGCTTGGTGAGATGATTTTTTTTTACAATTTTGTATGTTTTTTCATCATTATCATATCATCCTTTAATTGTCCACTGATGAACATAAGCCTCTCCCAAGGGGGGTTTTGCCAGTAATTGCTACGCTTGGCCGACTGATTGGCAACTGCAGTTAGACTTTGGAGGTGTTTTAAGAGGGACGCTGCTGCCTATCCTACGCACTCCCTTAGTCGCCTGAGGGACAGAGGTACCCAAGCAATCGACTTTTGTACAAAGTCTCCCTCAGGTAAATATATATTATATATTGTAAACACCCCGACCAAAGCAAAGAAACATATTTATGAATACACAATGCTTGTATTGTGCGAGGATCGAACTTACAAATGTTGGATGAGGGGGTGTACTTACTACACTACTGAGGTTATTAAAAAGAAAAAATAAATAAAGAGAAAGATTCATCATATCACCCTTCAACTGTCCACTGCCGAATACTTACCCCTAATGCCTACCCCTTGAGGGATTTAGCTAGTAATTCCCACGTTTGGTTTTGGTCCGTGGATTGAAAACCGCAGTTAGGCTTTGGAGATGTTTTAAGAGGGACGCTACTGACCATCCCTCGTCCTACCTTAGTTGCCTCTGACAACGCTCATGGAAAAGGAAGGGATGGCCTATTCTATATCGGAACCACACGACAATACAAAATTCTACAATATTATACAAAAAACCGACTTCAATTGGGGCAAAATCAGTCATTTTGATTTAATAACTGAACTACTGTAGCGTATTTGATATAATATCTATGACACCAATCTAATTAAGTATATCCTTTCAGATAAAACCAAGAATCTTTCAAATCATATACCAGAGAGAGACTTTGTACAAAAGTCGTTTGCTTGAGCATCTTTGTTCCATTCGTGTTTCAACCGTGAAGCAGTTGTGTTTGCATGGCTGTGTTTCGGTTTGAATGATGAGATATGGGTACAGATAACACCTGAGTCCTCAGGAATGGCAACGCATGGGGGCTATCATGGGCGAAACAGTATACTCTGTTATGTCCATGGTACTGCTCATGTCTATAGGCGACGGTTACCACTTTCCATCAGGTGGGTCGTCAGCTTGTTGGCCATTCTAAGTTGTATAAAAAAATGACGGAGTTATGTGACAATAAACATAAAAAGGAAATACAACCAAATTAAGAAGGTACAACCTTCTTTTGGAAATCGTTTGAAATGAACAAACTTACCCGTACAAATCTTCTATATGCACATCTACGTTGATATTCAATTGTTGGAGTTTGTTCTCGAACCAATCAATACGTGCTGGTGGGACCATCGCGAGACCAGTGATTCCATACTCCAAAGAGGGCAGTCTCCAGTAGTCAATTAGATCGTCTTTTAACAATGTGAAATTATCCTGCTGCTGTTGCTCATGAAAAGTTACTCTGTACACTTTATAACTGTAAAAAAGATGTATTATGTACTTTATCCACATGGAAGTAGATCTAATATGCATCTCTCTCTCTTGGTCCTCTTCATTACTGAAGGTCGTGTCCTTGAAAGGTGTCTGTTGTCTCTCTTATGTTATTCCATTTTGCACGGTCTTCAGCTTCTCGCATATGCATAATATACCTAATATTATACAGTGGGGGGAAAGGGATTGTTAGCAATGGAGTTTGATAGCTCCATTTCTAGCAATAGCCTTATTAGGTCGACCTCCACGTGAACAATTCTTGTTGAATCTTGTTGAATTCGTCACGATGGGCTTACTGACCTATTTCATCCTCACCTTATCTTTTTTTATAAGCGCAATAATATATATATATATATATATATATATATATATATATATATATATATATAGTAGATGTGACGTGGCTTTTAGATCCAATCCCATTTTATAAGATATTTAGGCATTACTGTGTTTTGGTTTGAAAGGTGGGATATGACAGTGAAATTACGCAGTACAGAGGCAATGCACCTTAGTCTTCACGAATAGCAACGCATGAAGGGTATCAAGGGCAATACAGTATACTCTGTAATGTCATTATATATTTAGGGATTTAGGATAGAGGTAAGAGAGATCTAAATTGTCAAACTTAGCAGGCTTTAAAAATATAACTTAGAATACTGATCACATAGATCTTACTAAACACGAAAAAAAACGAGTTTTCAGGAATAAGTCAACGTATGGGGGTAACATAGGCGAAACAGTATACTTTCGTATCTTCGCTCATGTCTACATGCGACGGCTACCAATTTCCATCAGGTAGGCTGTCAGCTTGTTTGCCATAGTAATTCGTATAAAAAAATCAGAAATAATTGCTTAATTTGTATTCCGCTTCGTGCTTCGGGTCCACGAGCAGCGGTCTTACGTAAGCCACATCAAAGATTTCAGCGTACAAAGATAGTGGTCTTGCAGCCCTCGACACGTGAAGAAGACACCTTCAAACGAGTACTGGTTATTTGTTTTTTAAAGTCGGATAAATATTAGTAAATAATTCATTATTCAAACTCACTTTTTGTACTCGTCATTCTTTCCAAACACCAACGTCACATAAGTAATTACAAAGAACAGAATTAACATTTTTACTGTCCGTTCATGTCCAACAACGATTCTACACTAGTGTATCAATGTACTTGTATATTATTAAAAAATAAAAATACAATAAAACTCTAGATAATGATTGATGATCCGCGATTAATATGTTTGTGTATATTCATATTGTTATCTTGAGATCAATTTCGAACGTCGAGTGGCACAAGTCGTATTTCTGTAGCAAACAATTTGTGTCGAAAAATAGTATTTTTCATACAACAGAGACGATATCTGTTATTCATAAAGAACCTTTTTTTTTTCACTGTAGTTTAAATTTATTTTATTTATTTTTATACAACATATAACGTTGGTATCTAGGTGCTTCCGCCCATAAGTGACAGTAATACTCCATGTGGGGCATCATGGTATAACATAAATACAAAAACAAAGAATTTTCAAGTGATGTGTTTAGTAACAAATTGTATTCAATATTTGTTGATATTTTTTTTTTCTATATTAGTTAGTTAATAGTAATTATTTTTGTTCTACAATAAATTATGACCATTGTGATAATAATTCATTTGATAAGTAACGCATAGTTACAGAGATAAGAAACCTCAATATCAATAGACTGTACGGAGAAGGGATTGTTTGTGAATTGTAGTGTTGTACTGCAATGAATATGGTATAATCTTAGAATATATAGATAGAGCATCGAGTCTCAAAGACAGTTCGACTTTTCGTCAGCTAATTGTCAAATTAGCTGACTTTTACCAAAGGGAGACTTTGTACAAAAGTCGTTAGCTTGAGCACCTCTGTCCCATTCGTGTTTCTACCGTGAAGAAGCTATGTTTCGGTTTGAAGGGTGGGATATGGTAGTGAATTTACAGGGTACAGAGGAATAACACTTTAGTCTTTACGAATGGTAACGCATGAGTATCATGGGCGAAACAGTATACTCTGTTATGTCCATGGTGCTACTCATGTCTATAGGCAACGGTTACCACTTTGCAACAGGTGGGTCGTCAGCTTGTTTGCATGCTAAGTTGCACAAAAATTACTTTTTTTTATCAGTGTTCTTACTGTAATTACGCACATAATGTATCTTGACGCATCTCTATTTAATTATTTAATAAACAAAATAAGTTTTCCCGCATTAAAAATATTATAAAATAATAAATAAATGTAGAAGTTATAAATGAAACCCAAAATTGTATGAAAATGTTGACCCGCTTTTCTGGTAATATTTGTATGGAAATACTCTATCTATATAATCTAAGAGTATAATATACGATGTAGTACTGTTGTGATTGGTAGGAAATGTCATATTGAATAAATAACTTAAAATATAAGCAAAAATAATTTGTTTAGAAGTAATTAAAAAATAAATATACAAAAATGTTCAAAATTCAAAAGTTTATTTGAATAAACATATTTATTTTTTTCTTTCTTTCTTTCTTTAATTCACAAATTTTGTTGGTTGTAGATTTTTGAATAACAAAAAATTGTATTCATCATGAATTGACTCAGACTTTCTATCTATAATGTATATATAAAAAAAAAACATATATTTATGTATATCTATTTATTATTATATTATATAAGCTGTTTAGTCTTGGCATAAAATAGGCCATTCCTTTCCTGTGGGTGTCGTAAAAGGCGACTAAAGGAACTCAGTGGTCGAGACATGGGCAGTAGTGCCTCCCTTAAAACATCACGAAAGCCTAACTGCGGTTGCTAACCCGCATACCAATCACGGTAACTACTGGCAAAACTCTTCAAGAGCGAGGTCTATGTACAGCAGTGGACAGTTAACTGCTAACATAATGATAATGATTAATTATTTAATAACTACATTATAAACTCTTTAAAAAGATAACTAGATGGCGCTACGCAATATATCAAACAAGTGATCATTATTTTGTAACTAAAAATTCTCTTTGTTTCACAAAACTCTCTAATCTAGGAAAATAATTAGTGTATATTTCTTTCGAAACAACTAATAATACTGAGATGGAAAATCGAGTTTAATAATTTACGTTAATTGACTTTCTGTGATGCAAAACAAAGTTTTCCAATATTTAAATAAAACTACGAATTAAGTCCATTCTAAAATAGTTATACCCGTCTTCTGTTTTCGATTTAGCAGACACTAAATCAATAATTAGGACACAGTAAACTCCAAAGACAGCCATCTTTAAACTATCAGTATTAACTTTAATAACAAAGGTTTGAAATACTTTTACTAAATTATACTTATCAATTAATATTTTAATGTTTTTTTTTTGTATATTATCATATTAGAAATCTTTAATTTTATTGATGCATTGATAAGGTTTTGCCCCTTTAATAATATGATAGTTACTGTACTAATGTTATAAATAAGAGGGGGGCAAATTTCTCATCGGCGGCGATCCGCTATGCCACGACTCAAGTCATGTCTCCCTTGTTTTCCCATATAATAAAAAAGTGGAAAAGAGTGAGAAATAGTGTTTAGAGAGATATGTATATTGAAAGACGAAATAATGATATAGATGGAAAAGGGAATGAAAGAAGAATTACGAAAGAGATTTATCGAGCACCAATGGAAGGGGATGTCAGGAGGGACTGCTCTAGTAGGACATATTAACCAAACAGACGACGTTCAGAAGAACGGCCAAATTAAACGTACTTGTAACCAGTGAGCGTGTATGAAAGGGTTGATGAACGTGGAAGAAGCGAATGAGTCGAGTTTCGAATGAACGTTTCAATCGTAGTATTTAGTGTTCCATTGTTTTTGTATACCCTAATGGAAGACAGGCGTGATAACTATGTATGTATTATAAATGTTTGGATAGTAGTGGGGAAAGGACTGTACCTTATCAGGATGATTTCCACATGGTTTTCGGAAAACCTTTGTGGTTAATTTCACATTCACAACCTAAATTTATCCTTATTATTTCATACTTTGCTGGTATCCCGTCATTTAAAGTAATTGTACTAGGACATCGTTTTATTTTCACTAATTAATTATTTATTTGAATTTAGAACGTACAATTTTGGTTTTTACCGCGGTTATGTTGCCAGTTTCTTGGGTACGTTGCCTAGGTGTGGTGCGTTGGGAGAATATTTATAATTAAATTAAATATTATTTAGGAATTGTATTGTAAGTTTAATTTATTAATGCACAGTGAACATTCGTTAAACATAATTGATTGATGTTATTTTTTTGATTTTAATACAAAATGTCTGTATATACTTAAATGGCATATTTTTTGAATGTAGAATTGTATTTCTTTCTTTTCAACTAGCAGGGTTTTATACATAAGAAAAAATGAACTGATAAATTCCTATTGTATTTGATAATAATAATAATAACTTTATTTCCTTAAACAAAATTAGCCCATGGTACAATATAGCTATGACTCCACACTAGGCAAAGACTGTATTGTGGTAGCCAAAGCAAGAAATTTAACAATAATGGTGCTGCGAACAGGGCTAATTTAAATATGTAACATTTAATGTAAGTTTGGATTTGCGTAGGTGTAGGTGTGTACGTGTGTATGTGTGCGTAAGTATGTGGGTGTGTCTATATATAAAGGTCGCAAACTTCTAGTTCTAACACATGAATCACAATGCGCTTTTTAAGATTTTCTCTGTATTCTCGTAGGACCAAGACATAAATAATTCATGAACGTGTTTTTTTTTTTTTTGCAAATGAAATATCTTTATACAAGAAGACAATCGAGTTGGTACTTCTATCCTTCTTCTAGCCGCACCGGCTTCTAGAAAACTTCATGGATGCTCATTCTTTTTTGGTAAGACGTACACAGCTGGTAGATAAGTAAGCGCGACCTAAATAATATATGGTATAATGAGGTGAGGATTACTTTAGTTACGTCTATCGTCATGGGTGCTCCGCATTGGCTATTTACCTCTCGTAGGTACTGGAGTTTCCGAGCACCCCGGAGTTAGTGCCCCTGTCTGTCCTTATTATTGTTTTTGTTTCCAGGTAACTAAAGCGTGTGAAATTAGTGATTGCGTTGGCATATCATTGAATTTATACAGAAGTCGAAATTATTAACATTTTTCTTTTAAGAAAGTTTTCTATTAGTAAAATTGAATATATTCCTTGAAGAAACATGAGATGAAAAAGAACAATTTTTAATTTCCTAATTAAATTATGAATGACCTTGGTGGTCTAGGGGTTAAACACATTGCTCATTGATTGTAGGTTCGAACCCTGCACAAACAGACATTTGTATTTGTATGTCTGTTTTTATTGGTCTTGCTGTTTTATGTGCATTATCATATTAGCTGTTAACTACCATTGAATATATAGGCCTCACATTTGAGAGAGTTATGCTAATAGTTGCCATACTCGACGGGCGCGTTGGAATTCGCAGTTAGATTTTGATGTTTTAAGAAGGCTGCTCTATCTCTCGGCCACTAAGTTCCTTTAGTCGCCTCTTACGACACTTACGGAAAAGAAAGGGATGGCCCATTTTATGCTGGGACTACACGGCAGTCAGTATCATGTTAAAACATGCTAATTATTTAAGTTTCGAGCTGTATTAATAATTTTGTTGTTTTACCGATTCTGAAATTGCTTCGGAATATTAAAGAAATTGATGACAGTATTTATGTACATGGAATGAATAATTGAATTAAGAAATTGTTTTACTCTTCATAAACAGAAAAAAAAAATCAGTAGAAATTATGCAAAATCTCGCACGAATTCGGCGCCGACTTTAATAGCTTCCCATGCTTCTTCAGCGGCTTTCTTAAAATACCTCGGATCAACTATGTATCCGTTATCATTATTCACAGTTCCACCATTAGCATAGCTTGGAAGTCTAATCGTGTATGAATATGGTATATTACGTACAACCGTCGCATAGTCAATAGCGCTACCAGATTCCTTTTCTAAAACAGCAGCCACATTACCAACCACGTAGTCATCGTCTTTACATGTGAAGATTTCATTTTTTACTGTAGCCATTTGCATTCCGATTAGATGTAATATTAATCCGTTACTTGGTAAATCGCCAGTACCGAGTCCATATAGAATTTGACTACCAAAACTTTGTAAATTCAAGAAAAGTTTTATCCGACCTTGGTTTAATATCATAATATCACGTATCGATCGTGTTTCTACTTCCGATTCCTCGCTAGTCCCATGGTAGTTGTCTGAACATGGATTATCACTGGAATAATCTCCAAAGTTTATGCCAAAATTGCGGTCGATATTAACACCAATACATTCTTGGTCGACGATACGTCGATTTTTAGTCCACTGCCTTGAGTTTGTCTATTGAAAGATCGAAATTGAAATTTATGAAACATCGTCATCATGTTGTATCAGTCGTAAACTGTCCACTGCTGAACACAGCCTCTCCCATAACGGGGGTTTTGCCACGCTTGGTAGGTGGATTGGCAACCGCACTTTCGCTTTTGATGATATTTTAAAAGGGACGCTGCTGCCCATCCCTCCACCATAAGCTCCCTTAGTCGCCTCTTTCAACATCCACGGGAAAGGAATGGGTGACTTATTCTATGTCGGGACCATACGGCCAGTATATTTTATAGTATAGTATATTTAGTATATATATGCTATTTGAGATAGAGAAATATATAAAAAGCATATATTTACCGAACTGTAATGATATCCATCAGGGTTAGCTATTGGTAAGATGATCCAATCAATATCTTTAACGAGATCCTCTTCAGTGACGTCTGTGACTAATTTGTTTATCGCATGCAACACGACTGGCAAAGAAATCCATTCTCGGCCTTGAATTAAAGATTGTATAAATACTACTGGTTTGGTGTAATCCTGAAAATATACGAGTATGTTTAAGGAAATCATATTTATTCATTTATTTAATTATTTATTTATTTCTAATTAACCTCATTGTGTAAAGATACTTGGAGCAAAAGGCGAGATTAATTAACTACATAGTATTCTCTCCCAGTCAACCATTATTATCTGTCTGCATTGCTATCACAAAGATGCAAAAATAAAATATGCTCATATTATCATCATACAGTTTGAATATAAAGATGAGGTTCGATACCCGTTCGGGCCAATTTAGAAAACGAACCTCTCTGAATTGGTGTGCCACGAGCACGTGGCACACCTGATGGTAAGTGACTACCGCCGCCCATGGTCACCCACAACACCTACGGCATTGCAGGTGTGCTGCTGGCCTTTTAAAAAGGAATATGCTCTTTTCTTGAAGGTTATGTTGTCGTATCGGTTCGGAAATACTGCTGCTGGAAGTCGATTCCAAAGAGTGGTTGTGCGTGGAAGAAAGTGCCTTGAAAAACGCACGGTGGAGGACTGCCACTCGTCCAGCTGGTTGGGATGAAATTTTAGTTTATGGCGGTTTGTACGATGATGAAAATCAGCAGCAGGTATCAATCCGAATAATTCTTCAGAGCACTCCCCATGATAAATTCGGTAGAAGATGCATAGAGATGCAACATCTCTACGCAGTTTCAGTGGGTCGAGTCGGACAGTAAGACGCCGATCGTCAACAATTCGAGCTGCCTAACTTTGAATGCGATTCCTCATTAGACAGGGTACCTTAGCTTTAAGACTATAGGATTGGTGTAGACCAAGATATATGTTACTTATAAAAATACAAGAACAATAGTAATTGTCAAGCCAATCATTTCACACAACTGAATTATACTCGTACAACTTGAAACTGAAACATGAATAGCCGTGTAGATCCCGGCTTAGAAAAGATCACTTTTTCTTTCTCGTGGATGTTATAACAGGCAACTAAGGTGGCGAGAGATGATAAGCAGCGTTCCTCTTAAAACATAATCAAAAGTCAAACTGTGGTTGCCAACCCGCCCTCCAAGCGTGGCAACTACTGTCAAAATTTCCCTTATGGGGAAGCAGATAATAACTGCTATTTCTTTCTAACATAAGTTAGACAGTATTTGAGATCAGTTTTTTTTATGCAACTTAGAATGGCATACAAGCTGACGACCCACATGATGTAAAGTGGTAACCGTTACTTATAGACATGAGCAGTACTATGGACATAACAGAGTATACTGTTTCCCCCATGATACCCCTAGCGTTGCTATTCCTGAGGACTTGTTTGTTTCGTGTTTAGTAAAGTCTGTGGTCAGTTATGGAACTGAAACCAAGAATTACGGATTCATTGCAATATATCTAAGTTATTATTTTTAAAGTCTGCCATGTTTGACTTTTTAGATCTCTCTCGCCTCTATTCTAAATCCCTAATTTAGGAAACAGTAAATTGTAAATATACAGTACACTCTGGAAGGTTCATGGTGCTGCTCATATCATATCTCTAGGTGACAGTCACCTCTTTCAGTCAAGTGGGACGTCAGCTTGTTTGCCATTGCATAATAAAGTTAGAGCAATTTTGTATTTTTTTTTGATGGGTGAAAATGGTAAGGTAACCTCGCCTGCGCTAACGGGATACGCTGGCGGAGCACCAGTGAAGGGTGATAGATGAGAATGAAAACAGGCCAGTTAGCCCATCATGATGTATTCATCAGGTATTAACCATGATAGTTTCCAGGGAGAACCACGAGGAGGTCGACCTGGTTGGGCATATTGCTAGCAATGGGATTCTCAGTCTCCATTACTAACAATCCCTTTCTCCCCAGCAATTTTGTATTATAGCGTATTATAAACATCTTACCGTGAAATTTGATGACGATATCCTTATATAATTAATTGGTCTGCCTTCGGAAGTTGTTCCTTGAGTAAGTAAATTAACAGTTGGATACTGTTTATCTAATTCTTCGAGAAATGCGTTAACCTTGAAAAATAATTTACAAATGATTAGTCTTTGAATTGACCACACCATCCTAAGCGAACTCAAGGATACTATGGTCTTCTCGTACTCTAAACTTTTTACGATTGGTCAACTCATTAAGCGCTGTTTAACTGTTTTCAGAAAAGGAGGTTCTATATTAGACCGTATATTGTTTATGTATACCGACCGCTTTCTTCGTTAATATTGGACCGATTTAAAAGAAATTTTTCTTTACGCTACGTTTAAAAGATCAGAGGTTTTTAGATAAAGGGAACAGTTTCAAAGGGAGTTTTTACAAAAGTCGATTGCTTGGGTACCTCTGTCCCATTCGTGTTGCAACCGTGAAGCAGTTGTGTTTGCATGGCTGTGTTTCGGTTTGAAGGGTGAGATATGGCGTGAATTTACTGGGTACAGAGGAATAACACCCGAGTCCTCAGGAATGGCAACGCATGGGGGGTATCATGGGCGAAACAGTATACTCTGTTATGTCCATGGTACTGCTCATGTCTATAGGCGACGGTTACCACTTTCCATCAGGTGGACCGTCAGCTCGTTTGCCATTCTAAGTTGTACAAAAAAAAAACGTCACATGAAAGGCCAACAGTTACATCAATAGTTTATCTTTTATTATATCCATTACTATTTGTAATAGAAAAATTCTTGTGTGTCGTGATAGCTGCAAACAAAATAATGGGCAGTTAGCTTTATATGATCTTCATATTTATTTGACATAAAACTAAAGTGAAGAAAGATTCTTGAGTGTAGTATGACTTCTCATTTGAGTGACCTCAAATGCATTGCAGAGAGTAATCGAATGAAGGTGGCTCAAGACTTATAGCAGTCTATAGTTATAGGCCAGGCCTATGTCCAGCAGTGGATAGATGAATGGTTGAGATGATGAAAGTGATCTTACCTCGTCATATGAATGCATCCTATCTATAGCAATACTCCCATTATCATCTCTGCTAGAGCTCCTTTCTGCAGCTTCTAATAACCGTTTGCGTTCCAGCTCGAATAATCTAAAAACAATATATATATATATATATATATATATATATATATATATATATATATATATATATATATATATATATATATATATATATATATAGTTATGTAATTATATAATTTAATGTTTAGTACATATTCAATAAGTGTTCAATATAAAAAATAACAAAATGCCTTTAATTAAAAATATTTCAAATTTGTTTACAAGAGTTTTATTTCGAAAGGTAATGGTTTACCGGATAAAAAGGTACATAACTTTGTATGGTACTTTATTAAAAAAATTCAGTCTTACCCTAACTTTGATCTAATAAATTAGGTTGTTTTTTATATAAAAAATTTACATAATGAAATATCAAAATCGTTATGAGGTTCAGATGAAGCAGACAGAGCTACAAACACGCGTACAGTGACTATGTTTTACACTATTTAAAGATTACTTAAAAAAAAATAAAGTGTACATACTCTTCCATGTTTTGCACAATGACTTTGTACTCTATTCCAGCTGCAGAGAATTCATTTTCAAATAACATCCTCTGATCTTTCGGTACGAGCACCCTTCCCGAACGTTTCGGCAATGCATGGGACCACACATCTAAGTTGAGCTTCCTCTCTAGTTCACTTAAAATCTTTACCTGCCTTACATTCTTTACTGCGACTTCATATAAAGTGAAACTAAAAATAATATTAATACATTAATTTTGGCTAAATGTATTGCTTTTATATTAGTAATATAATAAAATTGTAACTTTTGATTGTAACTTAGCATTTGGCCTTCCATTGTTTCTGCCTACCCTAATGGGAGACAGGAGTGACAGATATGTATGTATGTAAAATTGTAACTAGACGATGTCTGTACATGGGAAGTATTAACTATAAGAAAATTGTTATGACTTAATATGAGCCATAGAAGCCAATACAATATTTTTTTAGAAATTTTACTATCCATTTAGCTGTCTTACTGTATGTTTAATCTGGTATCTGACGGCCTTAGTGTTATAGGCGTCTACAGGCTAAAGTGAACGTTTACCAACAGACGGGCTGTATGTTTGATATTTAGTATACCAGAGGGAGACTTCGTACTAAAGTCGTTTGCTTGGGTACCTCTATCCAATTCGTGTTTCTACCGTGAAGCAGTTGTGTTTGCATGACTGTGTTTCGGTTTGAAAGGTGGGATATGGCAGCGAATTTACAAGGTACAGAGGAATAACATCTGAGTCCTCAGGAATGGCAACGCATAGGGGGTATTATGGGCGAAACAGTATACTATGTTATTTCCATGGTACTGCTCATGTCTATAGGCGACGGTTACTAATTTCTATCAGGTGGATCGTCAGCTTGTTTGTCATTGTAAGTTACATAAAAAAATCTCTTCCTTTTTTAGATTTTATTAAAGAAAATATCTTACCCATTTTCCGGATTTGGTTTGGTGAACACCAAACTAAATACAATGAATAGATATAAAGCTTTTATGATCATTTTGTAATTGTGAATACTCGAATATTCTGAATTCATTGCCTTTATATACTGTATTTTATTTATCAGTTAATAATTTATAAATTGATTGTGGTATGATTATGATCTGTAATCGGTAACTTGATTTTTCAGATTCGATAGGAAGGCATTTTTATTAATTAGGGTACCGTATCTCTAAAGACAAAAACGGAACCCTTATATCCGTTCATTGTTCGTCCGTCCATCCGTCTATCAAGACCCTTTTTCTTAGGAACGCGTGGAGGTATCGAGTTGAAATTAATTCCATATATTCAGGTATGCAATCTCTTAAAGCAGTGAAAAAATCAAGCTTCTAAATCGACGCGATCAAAAGATACGGCCGTTTATGTTTCATTTATACCGCATATTTTGACGTTCGTAAAGGAAATTTTTGGGGAGGGAATCAAAGAGAATCTTACCAGAGGGAGACTTTTTACAAAAGTCGTTTGCTTGGGCACCTCTGTCTCATTTGTGTTTCAACCGTAAAGCAGTTGTGTTTGCATGGCTGTGTTTCAGTTTGAAGGGTGGGATATGGCGTGAATTTACAGGGTACCGAGGATTAATATCTAAGTCCTCAGAAATGGCAACGTATAGGGAGTATTATGGGCGAAACAGTATATTCTGTTATGTCCACGGTACTGCTCATGTCTATAGGTGACGGTTACCACTTTCCATCAGGTGGGCCATCAGTTTGTTTGCCATACTAAGTTGTATAAAAAGAAAAACCTATAGGGTAGGTCTCGTTGATTTAGAATCATGAAATTTGGTAAATAGCATTATTATGTAGCACAAGTAAAGGAAAAAAATCCGAAAGCAGTAAATTTGTAGTTATTTCACTTTTTTTTTATCTTGATAATTTTGTACCTACGGAATCCTTTTTGCGCGAGTCCGACTTACACTTGACGGCCTTTTTTTTATATGATAACCAATACCATCTAAAAACTACCTATTCGTAGTTGTAGTTAAAATTCAATCAATTACATTGAGTTCATTTTACTTTTTTTTTATAAAGATTTATTTATTTAGGCATATCAACAATATAAATACACACATACAACATACTTTAAGAAACAAAATATAGTATTTACATCAATTATAGACATTTGCCGTGTGGTCCCGGCGTAGAATAGGCCACCCCTTTCTTTCCCGTGGATGTCGTAATAGACTAAGGGAGGGCGAGGAATGGGCAACAGCGTTCCTCTTAAAACATCTCCAAAGCCTAACTGCGCTTGATAATCCGCCTGCCAAGTGTGGCAACTACTGGTAAAACCCCCCAAGGGGGAGGCTTATGTTCAGCAGTGGACAGTTAAAGGCTGGTATGATGATGACATGAACAACATTGAAATAATACATCGACACAAAAAAAAGTTTATAAGTATTAAAAATTACATAAAAAATTTTTGGAGTAGACTTTTAGATAATATTTTAGCCTTAATTGATTGTGTTTTATCATGAAATATATTTAAAAAAATTATGCAGACTATTATAAGTGATTACCAGTGTTGGTACATGTAACCCCAAATTGGTTCAACGAGAAGGAACTTTGAACAAATTTTTATTCTTAAATTTTCGAGTACCTAGTTTAGAGATGCACCCCTTTAATTGCATCTGGACTTAAATGCAGGCATGCGACTCCTCATATTGATATATTTATCTATATCTATCTATATTTATAATAAATCTGTAGAGAGGTCAATTCTGTACATGAATTTTCAAAATAACTATCAGGGGGTGATTAGTGATCGATACTGATGCCAAAAATACAATCAGTAAAATTTTTGTCTGTCTGTATGTTCGTTATAGAAACAAAAACTACTCGACGGATTTTAATGAAATCTGGTACAATTATTCTTCATACTCTTGGACAGGTTATAGTATACTTTTTATCACGCTACGATCAACAGGAGTAGAGCAGTGAAGGGAAATGTTGGGAAAACGGGAGAAGTTACTCCATTTTTAAGCTTACGTCGCGTGTGCAGCTGGTCACTTTTTAAAATGTAAAAATGTCCACCGGTGCGACGCTGGGACGGGCCGCTAGTAGGGAATAAAAACCAATCGTGAACATTGCAGTATCAAATATTTGAAGTAACAGTTTTCTTGCCTTCTCAAACTCTTTACGAGTACTTTTACTTGATTCGACTGTTGTGTCGTGTGTGTGTGTGTGTGTGTGTGTGTGTATATACACAATTTTATTTACTTTTAAACTAACTATAATAAGGAGGAAAGATTTGTTTAAAACTGTTTGTTTATAATTGATAAATTTAAAAACTACATGACCAATTTTAAAATTATTTCACCTATGGAAAGCTAAACAATCAGCGAGTAAAATAAGCTATATATTTATTAAAAAAAATAGGGATTTCTACGAAAATTACAATAATGTCTTAGGTTATATAGATAGAGTACCGAGCCTCAAAAACGGGTCAACTTTTTCTCAGCTAATTGTCATCCTGGTTCTTACAGGACAGGCTCAATCCATGAATATACATTACATGAATATTTATAAGCTGAGCCTATCCTGTAAGTGCCAAATGTAAGCCCAAATGATAATTTCTTTTCTTTTTACTTAGTATATTATCTAAGAAATAATTCTTGTAAGAGACAATTGCAGTTGTAGCCTGCATTTTTGTTATAATTTGTTAACAGAGGGACTGGCTGAAAACCAGCGCTGTGAAGCTGTTCACATTGCGCTGGGACACTCGCAGCATCAGCTGAGCTGGTTCCTTTTGCCTAGTATGGGACACTTCTTGTGTATGTATTTTCTGTCGTTATTATGTTTTTCTGGCAAGAAAGGTTTTCTATTCTATTCTAAAGGACGACAGATGAGGGGGACAAGAGATGAGATCATAAAAAAGACAGTTAGAAAACAAAATTAAGATAAGGAATTCTAGAAAAAACACATTGGGAAAGTGGGCGATGGGCAAAATAAGGTTGAGAAACTATGGTCTCAAATCTATATAAAGCGTGCAAAGTAAAAAACAACTTGAATTATTGAAATAATTTATTTTAAAAATACATATTTTAAAATGGGTTGTCGCGCACAAATCTAGCGCAGTATTTAATCGCCTCCCAAGTTTCCTCAGCAGCTTGGGTGAAATAGCTCGGATCTACTATATAACCATTATCACTAACACTTCCGGAATTTCCGTAACTCGGCAGTTTGATTGTATAAGAATATGGTACATTTCGTACAAGTGTCGCGTAGTCCATAACGTTACCAGATTCCGCTGCTACAACGGCAGCTATATTGCCAACTGTATAATCATTATCCTTGGAACTGTTGAATGCATTGATAATACTGGTCATTTGGACGCCAAGAAAATTGAGTATTAACGCGTTACCTGGTAATCCGCCAGTGCCAAATCCATACAAAATGTGACTGCCGAAACTTTGTAAATTTAAGAACAGTTTTATGCGGCCTTGGTGTAAAATCAAAATATCACGTATCGAGCGTGTTTCTATTTCGGACTCAGTATCGGGCCCATGGTAATTGTCCGAACAAATATTGCTGCTGGAATGGGCACCGAAATTGATATCAAAGTTACGGTTGATGTTAACGCCAACACATTCACTACCAACGGCACGTCGATTTTTAGTCCACAGCCTTGAAATTGTCTGTTAACAGAAAGGTAAAATTATGATAAAGTTTTAAACACTAACAATACTGACTTTTTGAATAAAGAAAAATCTAGAAAACAAACAATATTAGAAATAGACTAGCTGAATTGGTAAACGTTGTTTTACCATATACATTATATCTAAAAATATATCGTATTACAATTATTATATTCGATTGTGATCTTGCAACCCTATTGCGGTATATAAAAATCGCGATTAAAAAACAGGGGTTGATCGTAAAAGCGTGAAAATTTGAACTTGGGTGTATTTTTCAATGCTAAATCATAATAAAATAAAAATAAAAATATTTTTCAAAAAAATTAAAAAATATATTTATCATAGAAGGGTATGAAAAATAGATATTGGCCGATTCTTAGACCTACTCGATATTCACACAAAATTTCATAAAAATCGGTAAAGCCGTTTCGGAGGAGTTTGGTAACAAACACCGCGACACGAGAATTTTATATATTAGATGATAATAACAATGTAATTATATATGTACACAATATAAGACAGCAACGACCCTCTTAAAACATCTTTAAAAACCTAACTGCGGTTGTCAACCCGCCTGCCAAGCATGGCAACTACTAACAAAACCCTCCTTATGGGGAAAGCTTATGTTCAACAGTGGACAGTTAACGGCTGAAATAATAATAATAAAATCCTAAATTATGTAGAGGGAATCTTTATAAAAGTTGTCTGCTTAGGCACTTCTGTTTCATCCGTGTTTTGCCATGAAACAGCTGTATTATCATGGTTGTGTTTCAGTTTTGTAGGTGGATACGAAGGGATATCATGTTATTTCTCAAGAAGTACAACAATGTTTATGACTTCAGGGGATGGTTACCACTTTTTGTCAGACAAGAAATGTGTGAAATAAAAATGAATAAATGAGAAAAGAAGTACGGTAAATAGATGATCTGGTTAAGCTATATTTTGATAGATGACTGTTACTCTTTTCCATTAGGTGAGTCGTATACTGCAGCACCGCCAGATTGGATATTTTTTTCGTAAGATAGGTAAATTTTGGAGAAATGAAATTGTTGGAGAAAATATTTCATTTTCTTGAAAACGTGGTGAATTTTTGGTAAATTTAAAAAACTAAAATAGTAACCGTCTTTGGCAATCGCAATCAGAGAGATAAGATGTGAGAATGTGAGCAGATTAGTTGATCCATCGTGATGAATTCCATGAAAACTAACTACAAAGGTTTACAAGGGGACCACGTAGAGGTTGACCTTATTATATATTGCTGGCAATGGGGCTTTTACACCACCGTTAATAAAAATCCTTTTTCTCCCTATGACACCGTGTTCAGCCTCAACAGTATCGATTATAATTTTCAATAGTTTACAATATATGAGTATAATTGTATTATTTACCGAACTGTAATGATATCCATCAGGGTTGGCTATTGGTAAGATGATCCAATCAATGGTGTTGACGAGGTCACTGTCAGTGATATTTGTAACTAATTTATTTATTGCATGCAATGCAACCGGCAATGAGATCCATTCTCGGGCTTGTATTAGAGATTGTATGAAAACAACTGGCTTATTATAGTCCTGAAAAAAACTTCTTAGTTTATTGATCTTCCTTTTTAATGCTCTGAAGGTGGCAAACTAGCATACAGCCTGTCTAATAGTAAACGATCACTATAGCCTATGGACGCCTGCAATACTAGGAGTGTCACGTACGCTTTACCCATCGTGAAGAAACCTTAATATACCAATCTTCTCGGCAGGGAGCTCGTTTCACAGCCTGAGCGTTCGCGGAAAAAATTCTTTTGTACATGACCATTTAGGTTCAAGCGCCTTTTACATATAACTTCGTGTGTTAACAAATTAATTAAAAAAAAAATTAGGACCATAAAAAAATATTTGTTCCCTGCTGAATACATGGATCCATCATAGACTATCTAAAAGAACGGTTTTAAGCCACTTATCAAAGGGAGATTTTCTGTAAGACTCGTCTGCTTTGGCCCATTCCTGTTTCTGCAGCAGTAGTGTTTTCATAGCTGTGTTTCGGTTTAAATGGTGAGATATAGTAATGAAATTACAGTACACAGAGCCACAACATCTTAGTCCTTAGGAATGACAACTCTGTTATGTCCATGGTACTGCTTATAGATGACAGTTACCACTTTCCATCAGGTGAGCCGCTAGCTTGTTTATCATTTTTAATTGCATAAAAAAACTTGCACTTCACTGATTCCCTACAATGTATTTGGGGTCGTCACACCATCTAGGTAGGCTTGAATACAAATGTTAAGCAATGTTATCATACAACGATGTCCTTCTGTCATATTTGCTTCTGTAAAATTGATTAACTGTTCTATATTTGTAAAACATTGTCTTGGTAAAACTTTTATGGACTCCCGCAAAACAGGTTTGCTTAGTGCGGAGACCAATGCACTCCTGTTGTATATTTCCTTTGTTTAATAAATAAATGAATAAAAAATGACTTTTTTTAATTCTTGGATATCATAGGTGACAAGTAAAGAACTAAAATAACATTTAACAGAGCAAAAGAAGGAAAAGTTAAAATATTCCAAGAAATCAGCCCAGTTTTGTAAATAAAAGCTAAAATCTTCTCCATATAGGAAAAGATAGCATTTCATACATTTAATACAATTAACATTTAAAATAATTAAAATAATAAACGTTTTACAATATAAAAATAGAGAGATATAGAGAGGGAGAGTACCAAAGTACCAAAAGTTTGAAGGTACGATCATATGGCATAACAACTTACCATAACTTACCGTGAAATTTGATGACGATATTCTGATATAATTAATTGGTCTGCCTTCAAAAGTCGTTCCTTGGCTGAGTAAATTGACAGATGTGTAGTTATTCGCCAATTGTTCAAGAAAAGAGTTAACCTTGAAAATGAATTAGGTTGTTAGTATTAGTCTCATTTAAAGACTGATTTTTTGTTGTCTTTTTGCAAGGATTCTTCTTTTTTTTATATACAACTTAGATTGGCAAACAAGCTGACGGCCCACCTGATGGAAAGTGGTAACCGTCGCCTATAGACATGAGCAGTACCATGGACATAACAGAGTGTACTGTTTCGCCCATGATACCCCCCATGCGTTGCTATTCCTGAGGACTCAGGTGTTATTCCTCTGTACCCAGTAAATTCACGCCATATCCCACCCTTCAAACCGAAACACAGCCATGCAAACACAACTGCTTCACGGTCGAAACACGAATGGGACAGAGGTACCTAAGCAATCGACTTTTGTACAAAGTCTCCCTGTGGTAATATATTGTTTGAAATAAGGTCTCATCTCTGTTAACGTTTACATCTTAATCGATATTGAGTTTACCATATACGCGATAAATATTTATCATGTCTTATGTTGTAGTTATGAATACCAGATAGACACTCTATTTTTAGTTTTTATAGCCAAACTTCTTGATTTAAACATTTTAACTTAGTCTGACTGTTTAATTATTTACACTAGCAACTGATTCCGAAACATTATCTTCAGGCATATTTATGGGAAGAAATAAGAATTTATATTTTACCTGATCGTACGTATGCATCGTATCTATAGCAATACCATACATATTTATGCCAGCACTCATTTCGTCAGCTTCTGACAATTGTTTTCGTTCTAGCTCGATAAGTCTGCAATATTTAATTTTTATTTCACATGACTGTTAATTCAAGAATATTAAACAAGTCGATTACTAGTTAGAAAGTAGTAATTGTTGCCTTTTTTATGCAACTTAGAATGGCATACTAGCTGACGGATCACCTGATGGAAAGTGGTAACCGTCGCCTATAGACATGACCAGTACAATGACCAAAGTATACTGTTTCGCCCATGATACTCCCATGCATTGCCATTTCTGAGGACTCAGGTGTTATTCCTCTGTACCCTGTAAATTAACTGCCATATCCTACACTTCAAACCAAAACACGAATGGGATAGAGGTTTGGGCATCTCTATTCCATTCGTGTATCATCGTGTGCGAACGACTTTTGTACAGTCACCCTCTGGTTTGACCTGTCTTGACCTGTAATTCTGACTTGTGCAAATGCAAATTATTCTGTGGTAATTAGACGTACTTATAATCAGTTAATGGTAATGAAATTGTAAAAATAATTAACTATTTTTTTATCAACAATATTGATTAGTCAGAATTTTAGGAAGTACTAATCAATTATAAGAACTAGCTGTATGAGATAGCAATACTTTTAAAAATATTAATCCCATTGGAACCTAATGGTATTGTAATTAAAAATTGACAGTATTAGTGGATTTTTAGTTAGTTTTCGCTTACATCCTTAGACAGATCTTAGGAACAGATACAATTAAAAATGTTAAAATTAATTAATTAATGCATACATACTCTTCCATGTTTTCCACTACAATTGTGTGTTTTATTCCAGCTGTGGAAAGTTCATTTTCAAATTCAGTCTTTTCACTTTTTGATACAAGAATCCGCCCCGATTGTTCTGGCGTTGCACGAGACCACACATCCAAATTTAACTCACTTTCCAGTTTATTAAACACCATCTCCTGTTCTGTGTTTTCTACTACAACTTCGTATAGTGTGAAACTGTAAATAATAAACAAAATTATATCTATTATTGTCGTTAAATTGAACATTAATTTCAATTTTGCAACATTTCTCAAGGCAAGTTTGAATCCAATCTGGTAAAAATTAAGCCTACTGCTTTATTTCGAATCTATTGTATTTCATATCTCATTTATGTTATCTAATTAATAAGCACATATCTTACCCATCGTATTGTTTAAGTTTGGCCGATACCAAACCAAATAAAACAAGCACAAATACAATTCTACAGAGCGCCATTTTATCACTGTCAATACTGTTTCGGAAGCTTTGTCTTTATATAGTTTTATTTTAATATACTTATCTATTAATAACATTAATGCATTTTATAAATTATCTTGATAGTGATCTCTAATTGTTAATATAATCATATATAGATAAGGTTTTGTACCTTACATGTGTACCGTGGCATTTTATATGTATAATAATAAAATATTACTTTGTTCAAATTTGTAAATTTGTGATTGAAAAATGGTGTCTGTTAAACTATTTTTAGACCACTTGTTCTCCTAGATATCTCTATAAGGGATTATATGTGTACAAGTATTCTCAGCGGCAGTAAGTAACTCTTCGAAAATATTATTGGCTATAGGCAAATATCTAGTTGGAAGTTTTATCGAGAAGCGATTTTTGTCTTGGGATATTATATTGTGGAAGCTCTTGCTTAGTTTATCTTCATTATAGGTGTCCAAAGAATGACGGTGGAGCAAGGGAAACTGGGAAATGTTATCATACGTGAGAAGCAGGTTTATTATATAATCCGAATCCTAACCTATGTTACTACATAGATTAGGATCGAATGCTAAAACCAATCTATGGCCTTGAAAACATAGAACACCATCATGTTTTAGCTGGTACCAGTCTGATAGATGTACCCACGTCGTAAAAAGATCTTGTAATTTTTAATTTGTCAATTTTTTTCACTAAATATAGCAAATATCATTATGGACCAAGTTCACTAAGTTTACTCGCTTATAATGTAAAATTGAAATATGCTTAGTGAAATTTAGAGAAATTGAGTGTTATTTTAAGTTCACGATAAAAAAAAAACAGCTCTGACAATAGAAACTACTATTCTACTTCTGTTAAACTTTGATTAAACGTACACACAACTTGTACAAATAGAATAGAGAATATTCGAATTTAATCTGGACGAACTTCACAGAGCAGTTGATGAATAATGTTGCGTGCATTACAATTGCTGGAATAATATAAAATCATGACGGAACTAAAGCAGTTAAATAAAATTGAAATATTAAACAATTATAACTGGATGTTAGTTGAGAATATTCTATAGAAAACAATTTTAGCGCTAAAGTTAAAATCAACCGCCTGTTACACCGTAAACAAGTTGAAAGCACAACTAGCGAGTTACTCGGTTAACTCGGTTAAAGACTTGTATATTTATTTTTCGCTAACGTTTATTGCTTGCTCCTTTCTGTGCTTGATAGCCAGTTACCTGCTGTACAAACTTCTTCGAAGAGTAATTAAAGATTCTTGAGCATCTTTTGAAGTAGATAGTTAGTATCATCTTTAATAATAGTAACATTTATTTTATGTTGCCATAAGGAAACCTTCACATTGTCAAGTTCATCTCGTTTTTTATTTTACTGAACTAGGTATTACCTTGCGGAAGTCCATATTACTGGTTATTTGATTAGAATTATTTTGTTTAATTACTCTACCGTTACTGTTTGTCTAACGACCAACACTCGAAGAATGACCATCACTGTTACTACCATTTTCTTTTACCTCTAAATGAAGCATCTTCAGGCAAATTATTAGATCTTTACTCGGAGCTTAGTATTTGCAACTACTGCAAGCGTGACGGCAAATTTGCATAGAAAATTAATCCAAGTGACAGCGCTTGTGTACGATTCATTCTAATATGCTTTGTAAAATCTGAAAACGTGTTACATTCGTCACAACGACAAAACACACACACACACACACACAAACACACACATACACACACACACACACACACACACACACACACACACACACACACACACACACACACAACAATATCTCTGACTACCATATCAAAGATTATTGTTGTAAATGAATGAATGATTGAAAACTTTACTGTTCTCTTCAAAGAATGATACAGATAATACAGATTATGTACACACACAATTTTTATTTATTAAAACTTATTTATTTATTACTAGAAATGAAATGAAATATTTCTGGATGAAATGAAATGAAAAAAAAATTAAATGAAACTAGCTGTCATTCGCGACTTCACGTAACTGGGATATATTCATATATCGAGATAAAAAGTAACTTATGCTCTTCTCCGTCCTATATAGTACATTTATACCAAACTTAATAGTGATTAGTAGAGCAGTTATGACGATAAGAGGTAGCAAACAAACAAAATCACTTTCACATTTATAATATTAGTAAAGATTTGTGTATAAGACCCCACAATTACGCAATGGTGTGATTTAAACCTTATTTTATTCCAAGCTCGCTCGGTACTTCCTTCTTGTTGAAACGACATATTCATATTTAAATTTATGGCGAAACTTTAAATAGTTAAGGCTAGACGAAGCAATATAAGTCGCTTTCATTGTTCTACTTTGAATAAAGTTCTTAGTTGGACGACTTAGAGTTTATGGCCGTTTTTGTTGTCGTAATATTCCTCTATAGAGTATCATAAACAAACGGGAAATAAAAGATTGCGGTAGGATAATAACTTGAGCATTTATTTATAGTTTTATGTATTTGGCTAGCCTTTATCATCGACTTCGTTCGCGTGAGCGTATATTCGTTGACCGTAGCCAAGAAGTAAGTAAATCTATATCCTTTTCCATCCCATATATTTCAAATTTTATAATGATTGGTTTGGTCTACTATGTCATAACAAACAAACACACTTTTAAATCCGGCCCCATATGGAGTATTGCTATCACTTATTGGCGGGAGCATCTAGATACCAGCTTGAACCCTTCGACTCAGTGCAACGACGAGCTATGAGAATTGTCGATGATCCCATGCTTGCAAGTGGTATCGAACCCTTAGAAGATCTTTTAATCTTAGAAGAAGACGAATCTTAGAAGAGATTTTGCCTCACTCTGCGTGTACAACGGATTGTGCAAAGAGAAATTGTTCAATATGATGCCCACGGTCACTTTTTACCATCGTAAGGCTCGCCATCGATAGGGAGTTCACCCTCATACCCTACAGTCTAGATGGTCACGTATTGCGCGGTTTTAGTCACACTCAGGTTATGGAATGAGCTCGATACCGAGGTTTTTCCAAGAGACTACAGCATGGGGTTTTTTGAAAGGGGGGTAAAGTGGTTTCTTCAGGGTCGGCAACGCGCGCGTAATGCCCCTGGTATTGCAGGCGTTCATAGGCTACGGTAACCGCTTACCATCAGGTGGGCTGTATGCTTGTTTGCCACCTCAGTGGTATAAAAAAATTACATTTATTAAAAAATCTAAATATTAATGTAAAAAGCCTTGATATATTAACAAGGGCTTTTTGGAGTTTACTGGACACTCAAAAAACAAGCACATTAGGCTTATGCTCAAAAAGAAAAATTACAATGAGGAAGAAACTTTTAATTTGAGTAAATATAAATGATATTTTTATGCCTGATATTAACACAGGTATTTTAAATATATATTGAATGCGAATATGTTCTCGAAAAATATATTCAGATTGTCTATTAGCACAGAGAGAGACCAAAAGTCGATTGGCTTATGTCCCATTCGTAAAGTATTGTGTTTGCAAGTTTTGTCACAATTTACACCTGAGGAAGAAATAATACGAGTCCTCAGAAGCATTTAACAGTATACTCTGTTGCAGTCCATGGTATATATTAATGATATTTATATATCAATAGCTATATCAATAATAATAGCTCGACACAACCTGTTTATATTTTTTTTAATGGGCACACAAGCGCAAATAAATGGATTTGAAAGAAATTTAGTACACGAATAGGTTACATTTTAAAACTTAATTTATTGGATACTTTATGTGTATAACTAGCTTTATATAAGTGGGAAATTATTAAAAGAAAATAAGTAGACAGGACAAATACTTCAGGTCATCTTTGTTTTGTTATTTTTAAGTATGTCCATGGATCCTTACATACTAGATGCAGAGCCCTAAGTTATAAGCGACAGCGACAAAACAAAATTCTGGAAGAATTATGATAAAGGATATCTTAACCGATTTTAATAAAATTTCGTAAATGTGTATGTACCTCTCCATCCAAAGGTTGCCTGGAAGAGATCGCTCTTAGCGATAAGGTCGCCTATTGTTTTCTCATTGTGATTATTTCTTGTAATTATTTGTATTTATAATAAGTTTACTATTGTAATCTTTTGGAGGAAACAATAAAGAGTATCTATGTATCTATCTAATGTGTTTGAGAGATGGGAAGGTTTTGAAAAATGAATGCGGTTGTTAGAGGGCTTTTTATGGGCTATTTATTTTTATTTAGTCCATATACATAAGTAATGGGAAATTAATGAACTCACTGCCTTTTTGTCGTTTTACGACAATTGTTAGTTACTTGTATTATAATAATTATAGAGAAGAACTGAGGACACGTTGAATTTTATTATTTATTTATTTAACATATTACCACCCCATAGCATATCAGCTGTTAATTTTCCACTGCTGAACATAGGCCTATCTCTATTGGTAGGATTTTCCAGTACTTACCACGCTTGGCTAGCGGGTTGGCAACCGCAGTTAAGCCTTGGTGATGTTTTAAGAGAATCGTTATTGCTCATCTTTCGACCATTAAGTTCCCTTAGTAGCCTCTTACGACACCTACAGGAATAGAAGGGGTAACTTATTCTTTGCCTGAAGTACAAAGCTTTTTGTAAACACACAATTTCTGTAGCGGTGTTTCCAAAATACGACACTGCAATTTTAGTACTTTATTGCAGTAATTTACATGAATTGAAGAAGGAGTCTCAATAAATTTAGTATAGTACAAGAGACGGTTTTACTGATAAGCAATCTCCTTTATACAACCTTTGGGTAGAAGGAATTAAAGTGTAATTTATAATGTGTAGTTTGTATTATTCTTTGTGGATCTTATGTGTTTATACATTATATATTTATTTTTAAAATAAAACAATTAACATGGAAAAGTTTTGCTGGAAGAAATCTCTTATTGGAGATAAGCTCGCCTTTGTACATTATGTTTATAATGAATTGTGATTAACAGTATGTTTTGTGTACAATAAAGAAAGAATAAAGTCTGAAATAGTAGGTGGCCAAACATTTTATTTATTTATTTATTTTATTTATTAAGTAAAAAAATCATAATAAATATTTTAACAACTGGTTTTATCTTTCTTAATCAAAATCTAATCTTTTTAGATAAATATCTTGGTAAAGGGAGTTTTTATTTATCAGCTATACAGTCTAGGAATATTTTTATCTTATCAAAAATTTGTGCCTGTAGATTCGGAACCTTTGATTTTGATATACTTCAGTAAAAAAACTTGATTACATATAGATAAAATTAAATAATAAGTAACATATGTATATTACATCGAATCGCATTGTTAATTGCATTA